TATGTAACGATGAGCGACTAGCCTCCCAGTATCTGCTGCTTCAATCAACGTGTGCCAGACTAAAAAAATCAACATCACCGCAATAGCCTAAAATAATTTTACTCCAAGTAAAAGTGCTTGCGTATTTCCTAAGAAAATGCTGTACAGACCATGGAGCCCCATACGACACCCTCTCATCTGAAGTTTTGCAAAATTGTAGAATGTCCCCTAAACCAGACGTCATCATTATGAATATATAAAAAAAAACCTTAAATAGATTCGGAAATTCAAAAAATTATCGTTGAGTCTTCGATCCACTTTAGTTTATCCTTGCTAAAGCTGCTATTCTTAAGATATTTTTACCTTTGATATTAAAGCACCTGAGATGGCTCGTTTAGTCATTTTTAAAAGGAACTCATCTCTACATCCCCACTCAACGGCATTTATTAGTCACACTTTTGCTTTAATTCGTGTTTGCTATGCAAAAAAGGGAAATTAGTGTAGCATTTTGAGGGAGAAATTAATATTCGGAATTGTATTGGATTTATAAGTGCTTCAGGGCCGTCTTGTGATGACCCCAAGAGCCTGTTACTTGAATTATTTAAAGTTTTCCAGTGTTTTACCTTTCCTGGGCAGGTATTAACATGAATTCATGGTTTGGCCCGTTTTAACAGTTTTTTCCAAGTGTCTTCGTCTTTTTCGATAATTGTAAAGATGTGAAGCAGTAGTTGATATCTGGCATTTTCCGCGTTAGACACCTTCATACAAGCAGCTTTCCAGACACCCAGAAATAGCCTTTCATCAATGGAGTGACTATAATTTTTTCTTAAATCGCTATTAATAAGGTAAGAAATTTGAGATTTTAATCCAGGATTTCTTACTACCCAATGACAGAAAACCCTCTGTGTATGCTTCGCGTTCCATTTTTTAAAACAAGTGCTAAGTCATGAGGAATTTATGGTGCGATCAAAGAAGAACAGCACCCCGTTGAACAGGTTTTGTCCATTAAATGCTTTGGAACTCATTTCGAGCTCAATGAAATAGCAAATCCTTACCCAGTAGTATTGTCATCGAAAGCCAAAATAAGAAAATAGCATAGTATCACAAATACGTCAAAGTCACAAAATTACCGTTGACTCCTGGGTTCATGGGATCATAGTGATCTCGATATTGTCGTTTCTTAAGAGAGATTGCGTCAGAATTCAAGACTCAGACTGACTTACCACAGAAGGGACTCTGTGAATAACTCTGACTGACTTGAAAACTCCCGTTCTTTTTTGCCGCGTTGCGACGCTAAAAGCCTCAATTCTGTGGGTGTAACACAGCCTCGGGTGTAAACAAAGAACACGATTCAGTGCATAATGCATAAGTTGCAGCTAGTCTTCTAAAGAGTGTGAGTATTGTTCGATGGACTGTAGAAAATGTGGACAAGGTTTCAGAATAGCCGAATAAAAAAAGGAGTTAAATTAAGGCGTAAAAGGTTGTCACAGCCAAATCTCCTTTCATGTATAATATATAATATAAGGACATGAGTACATAAGAAGACCTAACTAAACCCTATTTATTATTAATGTTAACAATAAAACTTCAAATGAATGGAATGAAAATGCGTTTCAAAGTCGTAGAAAATCTACCACTGGCGAAATATTGAATATTCGTTTTCTCACAAAATGAGAGTTTGTCGTTTTTTACTTAAATATTTAGAGTTTGTGCAAAAAAGCCTTTACATACGTAAACATAAATAAAACAACTAAATTTAGTGAATTAATTTAAATGAGATGTCAGATGCACGGAAATAAAGTTTGTGTCCGCTCTTTGTACAGCTAGATAAAGTTATAGTGCGAAATCAGGATAATTAATTTAACATTAAAAAAATTAAACTTCCGTTCGAATTTACAATCTATTCAGATAACTTGTTATGAGATATGTGAAGATCACTCATAATGGCATCTCCAGCAGCCAATTTCCTATAATCCAGATAATGACGCATCGGTAGTTAACGGTGAAAACAGGTAGAATTTATTGGCTTAAGGCTGAAATAGGACGTAAAAGAGTCCTATTTCTCATGAAAGCATAAAAATAGTTGTTGGATTTTACTAATGCGAATATGCTTTAGCACTTAAAAGGAGCTACTGAACTAATTTGCATCGCAAAAGGACATAAACTCTCTCGATATAATAGCTGAGAAGATTAAAATGAAAGAATGCCAGTTGAAAACTAGGACTTGCAGTTGTTATTCGCGCATAATGTCCATCTTCATATGTATTTAAATCTCTAAATTAAACAAATACAACCCATAATTGCTACAATATACAATGCTTGTGTCCTTCTGCACAGTTCAAAAAGGAAAATACCTTTTTTTCTTCTGCTGTCTTTTAATGAGTCATTTAGTCTAAATGACTCTTTTAAAACATCGTGCCTAGACAAGATCCTATACCTAATATGGGATGATTTTGGTCAAATTCAGTGTTAACATACGCACTGATGTGAACAGAATTTACAGTGAACCTAAGATTTCAAAACACAAAGTTTAAACTGCAAAACATTTGCTAGTAATCACTCAAATGACATTTGCCATAGATCAATGTTCAGAGTTTAAACTTTTCGCATACTTCTGAAAAATCTATGGGTTTTTCCGTGAATATTAGGCATTTGGCAACGTAGTATCTACTTATAAACATTTAAATACGGCATTAATTATAATAACAGCAGGCAGCGGAAACGAATACGCAAATACCTGTCCAAGATTTAATATTTTAAACTCCTAACTTCTCATCATCAACACATTAATTTGAATTCGTCTACTGCGATCATATTTTGCAAATCAGTCAAATTTAGGAGCTGTTCTCCACTAATGGAGGCAAAAAGAAAGGTATACAATTAAATGACTCCATCAAGTGTCTTGTTAGGCAATTAAAAAATGTATGTTATAAGTCCAAAATCATTCAAAGCGATTTTTCGTCCTGTCAAAATGGAAACAATGCACACATTGGCAATCGGAACTTAGTGCGTCCAAATGGAAACATGTAGGCAAACGATTTTGATTTAGGTGAAGTTTGCACAGTTTGAGTACAATTAGAAAGTTTAAATAAATTGCATAGACTTCAGCACATCAAAGATTTCATTAACTAACCATGCACGTAGTCATTTAATTCAGCCCTTTTTGTATCCTCGAATAATAAAACTTTTCAAGCCTAAACAGGTCAATTTGTATGGGTACTCTAGCAGTGATAAAATTGAAAATAATCTTAATTACTTAAAGGTAAAAATATCGCCCACTTTAACGCAAATACTAAGGCATATTAAAATTTGAGGTTTAATTAAAAAAACGCAATTTCTTTTATTATATCCATAATCTACAGCTTGTTGTTGAATGGCGACTGCAAGGTCGCATAAGAGTTGAAGCGCGGACTTAAAATTAAAACGTCGAAAAATGTTTTAATGTAGATACTTCCAAATATGATATCAAAAATGGAGGATGTGCGTCGTGATTTATTAAGACTTATAGAAGAGTGGAATGCAAGTCGTTTAGATCTGTTCCATTTATCTACACCAAACGAGGTTTGATGATTTTGTTATCTAGATTTCGCTCTGCAGTTTCTTGAGTTTCGAGGAGTCATGCGGTTTTTTTTTCAAGACGATGACTTAAAATTTCAAACAAAGTGCTTAAGGGTATCAAGTTCAACGAAGACATGTGAACTTATTCCTATGCTTTGTGAAAAATTTTGCCTCCTTACTCTGCATTTGAATCCTGGCAACCTTGGTCTTTACGAGCATTTTTCGAACTCTGGTACAATACTTATGTCCTAGTTATGTTTCTAGAACGTATTTTGGGTTCCGATGAATACCCTTTGCTGGTACAACTAAACTGGTCAAAAATTGGTCAAGATGGAAAGTTTATTCTGAAACCAATTCATAGTACCATCGTAAGTTATGGGTTTTTTTATTTTGTCTATTTACTTTGACTTCATTAAGGACTTGATGAATAGGAATACTATAAAATATCTGGATAATATCATTAATTGCCTGTTATTTTCCAATGAATGGAATCTCGCCAAATGTCCCTCTGAGTTTCGAATATATCGTAGACGTTAACCTCATCAATTCGAAATTCTAAAAAAGTCAACTTTAGAAATTGATAACTGTTTAAATTAAGCAACATGTTTTATGCAAAAAGAAGGAAAAGGGACATAGCGTACTACCTGTTGTAACGTTGTCCATGGAAGTTAATTAAAGCATCTACATTTGACTCTAATGCTATCATCAAAATTATAGTGTTCCCAAAAGGGGATTTTCGAAGTACTCCAATTCAATGTAACTTTAATTTAACGAAATTCAGTATCGTGTAAATGTAAAAATGCTTTGCCAGTTTTATTAAATTAAAACTTACACGATTTTTGTTCCCGCATAAATCTGTGCCAAAATGCTATGAATCAGGAGTTTTTTTATTCACCGAGGTCCTTTAATATAATCATTTTCTATTCTTTTGACAAAAATGGTACAATTCATAATAATTGCTTGTGTAGTATCATTTTGAGGGCATCGTAATTGCAAGGTATATGCCATTCAGTCCATTATACGCGTTATGGTTTAGTTAAACAATTAATTACGATATGGAATAATTTATTATGTCTATGCTTAAGAATTCGTGCTAGTTCTTGGTTGCATCCAAGACACGTTTGTGCCAATACTCCCATAAATTTGGTCATATTAATTTATTTCAGTTAATTTAGTAATATGTGGTTATTCTATATCACGACCTGTTTATTCTAAAGCGCTTCTCTTTGTTTATTTAGTATAATTTATGTTAGATGACACATTTTTTGCTTCATTTGCACTAAACTTATAAAGTCATTTGTAGAAGCTTGTGGAGAAGCGCCTATGCTACTTTTTGTATTCTAATTAGTGTTTTGCATTCATTAATATAAAAATCTTTGCAGTAGCATTTGCCATTAATATATCAGGCACTGCATTTTTTATCAAGTTGGGTATCTGTGATGTGTGCTTATGTGAGTGTTTAGGTACCCAAGAAACCAGAGGACAAGTCTCAGACGAAAACAAACCAGCCTTTAAAGAAGAACGACAAAAAATCGTCAAAAAAGCTTAAATCTAATGGGGCATTAGATACTTGGTTTTGCGGCCGTGCGACTGATCGTAAGGAAAATGGAGACAGGTCAAGTGGATGTGGACCGCGAATTTGGAGGCATGAACAACACGACGAGGATAAATGGCCGGAAGTTGACTCTCACTCGAAAAGTCGGTGTGACTCTCCTCCAAATAGTACATTTACACGAATGATCCCTGATCCCGAAACTGCAATGCAGAAGAAACGTCAACAGGTCCTCGGAGAAAAACTCTCTCAAATTGTGAGCAATGGGTCCGACTACATGGGTGCGTTTTAATTCAGCAAATCTAGTTAATCGGAGTCCTTATGTCCTTGAAACCTTTTTTTTATTTTTGAAGGTGGAACTCTAAAAATTTATGGCGACCTGATTGATCCGAATGTTCCCTACAAGACCCTTCTGTTGTCAATAGAAGACTCCGTTTCCCATGTTATTCGTCAAGCTTTAGATAAATATGGACTAGAACTTGCTGATCCCGCCGCGTACTGTCTGGTTATGCGAACGCGGTCTGCCAATGAAGCTCCCATGAAGGAAACACGTGAAGAAGTTCTGAAAAATGATTCGTGTCCCCTCAAACTCCTATTGTGCCCAGATTCTTCTCATGAAGGCATTATTACAACATTCGAGGTGAGCATCACGCTAAAGTTTCCTACTTAAGCGCAAAACAAAAAAGTATGATTGAGTCGTACTTACAGCTTCGTCCACGCCTAACTCGAATGGGCAAACAGCGTAGCATTGAGCGAAACGGACGTGGGCTTTCGCCTCCCCCGCTCATTCGATTACCATATCATCAAATAAATCCAAAGACCTCTCATCCATCTGAGACCTCAAGAGTCCAACCTGCGAATGGACGTCAGAATTCATTCGCCTGTCTGGTAGACGTTTGTGCGGAAGAGCAGCACTTCGTGAAGCCGGCCTTTTATCCACTACCTCTGCATTTGGGACAGGTGAGTAAAATCCGTTAATTCGTTCCCCCAACTGCAAGGATGTCAAGACCCACTTATATGCAGTGCGAGTTGTTTGTATTTACTAAAAGTTATCTTCCAGAAGGCAAATCAAAAAGTTGTTCAAGTGCAATTCTTTCGATGGGCAATCTAACCAATCACCTGCTTGATACTTTGGCACCATCTGAGCACGGTAGCCTATGAAACCAAATCCGCCCTGCATACTTACCTCGTGTCTCCGCTCTCTCGTTGTATTCGTGTGCTAATTCACACGTTCATCAGTGTGGACTTGCTCGGATTTAAGTGTCCTCTCGGTTCACTGTCGCGTCCATTTGCATAAACGAAATAAGAAACATCGATTTGTTCCCTTTACAATTTAACATTCTGCGATTTCGTGAGTTCAAGTTCATTGAAATGATTTATTACTCAAAGGGCACTTTCATATTAGGTAGTTTTTTTTACTCAGAGAATTCTGCGTAAAAGCTAAGCAACCCCTATTTTCCTGTCTCAATAGTTTTGCTCCATTTAGTCGATGTTGATTAACCTTTACTAATTACTACAATGAGGTGCAGGAACATGTCGATTATCCTTTCCCTGCGGATAACTGGTGGCTCCAGTGACTCAATCGTGTTGGAATTCCCAAGATCCTCTGTCATTAAACACTCCATGCATTTCGTTAATACGTTTTAGAATGTAACTTTTTTACTCCTACCTATCGCCATCAACCAATTGGCCCCTGCTGAAAAATATTCAGCTTCCCCTGTAAAAAGTTATAAGTAACAGAGTATAAATTGCATTTTCGCCCCATTACGCATTTATACGACCTCGAAGGCAAAAAGGCGTCTCAAATCTGGGACGAAATTAGAGTAACTTCTCCTAGGCGCGTTGAATTTTAATTCACGGGTTAGGAAAGGGTCCCTGGCTATTAGAAGGCTAGGTTTTTAGGTCCATGATGCCTAATGTGCATGCCATAGCTTTAATGAAATCGTCACATTTACGAGTGAAGGCCATCGTTATTTGAAAAAAAACACGAAATTATATTGAAATCAAATATTGACGTTATTGTGGTTTGAGGACGTCCATGCATGAAGGCCGATGTCTTCAGGTACCACATTTGCTGATAGAAAATTATTGGATGAAGCTTATTTCTAACGGAACTCCATTTTTCCAAATCGGCACATCATTGGCGAACCAGCATCCATGTTGTCGAAAATTGCGAAAGTTAGTAAAAGGGCCGTGCTGCTCACCTGGTGGGAATGGAAGAGTGTCGAGAACCAGCCGCTCCCTCCATCTCCCTTAAGTACTGTTTCACATCCATACGGTCCAAATAGGCAACTTCTGTGTGTTATTTGGTAATCCATATACTGCCACTGGACAAAACCGAAATGTCACTACCTGTGCTCACGCCTTTTTGAAAAATCAAACGTTTTTTCGAGAATATTGACTAGTTAAGGAAAAAGGAAAATTATAAACAGGACAAAAGTTTTGGTGCTTATTGTGGTTTTGCCATTCATACTAACTCGCTCTGTGACACCAAGTAGAGGTTTAAACTAAACTCAGGTAAAATCGTCCTGTACCCGACCATGAGAGAACAGTCTTACCACCCCGGGGTCTTCACACCCTTCCTTATGGAACAAGTGTTTAGACTCAAACGGTCAGCTGTTCAGTATTTTTTAAGACCTTTGTGATTAGTCAATCTCGCAAATGTACCCATACAACTTTTCGAGAATTCAATATGTGCTAAATTGGGTTTTTTGTGTGTCGTAGAGCAACACTTGAGGAAATTTACTTAGATCTCGAAGCTTAGATGCCCTTGGTAAGAGCAACAACAAAGTCACTTGACATAAGGAAGTCACTTGCACTTTTCTGCTGCACTGTCATCGTGTCGTGCCTGAAAAAAAAGGGAGGCTGTGTGGTAAAATGCTGCGTATCCTCTTTGTAAGCTGACAATGTTCCTTTTTCGTAAATGTCACACTTTTCAAGCGAATGTAAAATTCAGTATCAGTGCTGGCCCTAAACAACAAATGTAATCCGTTATCTGAAGAAAAAAATAGATATTTAGCTTTTCCTTGTGTATTACATTAAATAAACTGAAGTGAGCTTTGAAATGGTTATCTGAAATGAGTTTTTATGTTGAACTGAGTTAACGAATTGTTTATGCACATATCTGACCACATTGTGAAACGCCCTCTTTATTAGTAACCCCCTAAGTTGTTTTCGTCATAAACAAACGTACAATCGTATAACGGTTAAGACTGGATCACTCTGCTGGCTCCCTGTTTCCCGAGATTTGGGTCTGTTGATAGTGGGGCAGCTTTGCCTGCGAGCGAACGGGCTGGATTAAAGACGTAATTCTGTGGAACCCCATTAGTTTCGTCCTCTTGCTCTACCTAATGCAAGGTCCCTGCATTAGGTTTCCCCTTGTGATCTATCGTGGTTAGCTTCTGTAAGCAGCACCTGTTCTAGGTGGCTCAGATCCGCTACCCAGACATCCACTTATTGAAACCGAATGTGGGGGTCGATCTTTTTAAACAAAACAAGCAAAACAGGTAAGGATTCTTCACTCATCTGTCATCCTGCCAATCAACTGGACAAAATTACTGGTAGGTCTTTCTGTACACGCCTTAATACCACCCACCATGAAATTTGCCATAAGAGGTGTTTTTTTCAAATACTGTAACTAAGTAAACTCCAAAAATGCTCTTAGAAGTCATAAAGCGGTCAGACAAATTCTAAATTCCACCCGGTTCAAACATGGCACACTTAACTAGTCTGCTAACTTCTTGATCTAGGCACGTGTCGGGACCACTTAGCATCTTTTTTTTTGTCTTCCTACCACAGAGTCTAATTCGAACTGTAGTGTTTAATCAAGGCATCAAAACGAAATATTTCCGGAACCGGTGGGCGACGCCCAGTTGGCGGGAGTCTTTTGCCACTCCCGTCCTGTGATTCATCCCCGGGGTGTTCGATGAGTATCCGAGAGGGGGTCGGTTGCCATTGGTTGCTCATGGATGCGCGGATGTGAGTGATTGTCACTGTAGCTGAGGTACCAACAGCATGGAGGTAAATACTGCAAATGGGGGCCAATTTACTCCTCATAATGTAGATTCTCGTGCATTGTTAGTTTGGATGTCAAAGACAACAGTCCTCATTAAAAGTTTACTCAAACACTAACTGGCCTGAATTCACATGGTGTATTGTAAGTGCCTGAGGTGGGCGTTAACCCAGTCCGCTACAGTGACTCAGTTTGAGTCGCCAATCGACGCTGTTGTAGCCATATCATCCACCAAATCCCCTGTCTGGCGGTTGATTCACTCACATCACTAACACTTGTCAATTGCCCAATTTATCCCCGAACATTTTTGCTTCACAAAATTAAATTTTGGGAGGGGGCTAAGGCAGCGTGGCAGTTAGGGGGAAAGTTGCACGACTAATGCGCGAGTCCTTTCGCGAATCCTTCATCTGAGTTTAGTTTGACTTTCAATTTCGGTGCGGGGGATTCGACCGGTTACAAGGTTGGTACCTGACACTTAATTAGTAAAATTTTGGCTCGACGTTTTTCATTAACTTTACCCGACCTTCTGCGCCCGCAACGTTCGATGGGCGGAACAACTTAGGGGCTGTCGACCTGATTGCTGTAATGTATGCCAAGGTGTCGACTGTATGGCACCACCATCAGTCACAGGTCGCTTCCCACCACCCAGGTTTGTTGGTGCATTTGCCTGTTACAAACCCATGTGGCTGGCCCACCTGCCGTGAAGACATCAACACCTCATGAGACTTGCTAAATAGGACTTCTTGATGTCCCAACGTGTGCCTTGAGCTTCATCAATCCAACGTAAAAAGTTTTTCTTCTGTTTGTAATTAAAATCGGGTATAGAAAAGGCAGACTGGCCAACTCTCAGCGCTCATAATATCCCGATTGTGAGCTCATGGCTTTATGCACATCGATTAGAATCCAATTCATAAAAAATTTGCCTTATAATTTTTTTAAAACCAATTTAAGTGGGGCATAGATGGGGCTGACCTTTCTCATTCTTTATTAAATGTGTTACTTACGCTGTCTATCCTGAAAAGAGCATCAAGCAAAATTTATCCAATGCGCTTGTTTTAAAAACTGAAATCGATCTGTCGAATTAGTCGCCCGGAAATCGTGATTTCAGGATTCTTGTTGAATCCAGTAAAATTTTGTGCCTGTTTTCCAGAAACCTTTTAATTGTTAGTGGAAACATAATGGGACTGCTTGATTCCAGCAGTGACATCACTGGTTACTCTTTCTTAATTTGAATGACGTCTACTTCTTGCTTTTTGGGTTTTAAATTGCCTCCAATATTTCAAAATTTTATAATTGCTAACTAGTTGCTAGTTTGGTGTGCTTCACTTGTCAAAATTAAAATAATGGTGACACTTTGAGGAGGGAACGATTCCAAATTTAGAATTACTCTCGCTTCTTTCGCATTGAGGTGCCAACTATTTAAGACCTCTAGTTTATTTCATTTGGACTTTGATTTTCAAACGTGTATTACTCTCATATGCATTTCACTTCGTTCTTTGAATTGTGGCGACAAATTCCAAAAGGACTGTGCTTATTCAGATTGGGTCGTTAATTTAAGGATGGAGATCACACTAACAGGCTCCTCAATGTGAAGTCGGTTGATCTGATTCGCAAAGAAGAGCAATTAGTGTTCCATTTTGTGTCTTATTATGTTCCGCTCAGGGTTTGGATGAGTCAGTTTTTTTAGTTTTGTGTAATGTATCTTAGTTCATAAGTCTAGACTTGCGGTGCCTTTATTACGACTGATATGAAATTTATCGCGTTTCAGTATTGCATTGGCAATTGGGGAGTTATGTCTTTCCGTTATAGTTGTCGCCGCAAAACTGCGGTTAATTAATTCAAAAACCACCACATACACGCTCAACCAGGCATCACCCGCCTTCTTTGTTTTGGAATCCTGATTAATGGGTATCATTTCGAAGGTAGTATAATGAAACAAATCGCGCCTTCATTCGGACGCAAACAAGTCTGCGTAGCTACTTACAAGGGAGGTTCAGCAAATTGTTTTGTTAAGTTTACAATCGAATTAAAAATCCGCATTTTAGGCATTGCATATCCATTTTATCCTTTGGGCTTTGAGGTACAATTACTGACCTTTCCCCTGTTTAAATCTGTTGAAGGTTGTCATATCACACGCGAAGACGTCCTACTTCCACCCTTTCAGCATGGAAGTTGAAGTATGCTATAATTCAAGTCAGTGATGAGGTGTGTAATTGTAGGATAGAGGCACTCGATTGCGTCTTTTCGAGGTCCATTGGGTCAGCTGCCGAGTTTCCGTTTTTTTATCAGATTCGCAATGCTACCCCTAAAGATGCACCAAAAGTTGCAACAAAAAACTGAATCCTGGAATTTTTAAAAACAAACATTTACTGCCTAAGTTCCGAACAGCGAGTGTAAATAGGGACTACGAATGCCTATCCTGAAAGAGTTACACAAATTTAATCCGTAAACCACTTGCAATGAGGGGTATTTTGGAAAGGGAGGACTTTTTTACAGATTGACATCTTTATTGTAATGGTAGACTGATTTGAGCTTAGCATTGGCTAGCCAGTGAAGGGAAGCATCCAAACTTGGTTGTTACCAGCGCTACCTTCCTTTTACTTGATTTCTTCGATAGTTAATCGGGGACTTGGCATCAGCTGGAGAACCCACAAAGTAAGGATTTGCAATACGAACTCCTTGTGCTTTTTGCTGGCTTCATAAATGCATACTATTGTGCGCTACTGTTTTGATGTGTAATCTGTGCCTGAATTAAGGTCTGCTTTTGTGTCCCTATTTTAACGTGAGCGTGATTAATCTCATTCCTCTTACGAAACTTTCGTGTGGTCTGTTTGAGGCTTTGGATAGGAGAACTCACTGAAAAAAATTATCTGGCAACATTTTGGAGTGGATAATCTGGTAATGGTTGACTTTTTAAATTTACGCATCCAGTGGGTCAGAATTTTGAAACTCTAAAAAGTTGTTCGTAAAACGACTTCCACTATTTCAAAAAAAACGATGTTTATTTTAATTTTAAGTGCTTCCGGTTTACTGGGGCCCCAAATTGCTAATCCATCCCACGCTCGTAACGCTTTCTACTGACAATTTTAGCCAGCTGACTCTGAAACCTTTCTGTGGGAAATCCCTGGTAATGTTTAAACTGTTAAAAATTTTATTAAATTAGTTCTAGCACAAACATTCACTATTTTAAACCACTTTTTTTCGCGGGTAGTGATGGGGTCTTGTTGCCGTGTGGCTTTTCTGGTCGAGTATTCCTCATTTGTTTTACTTTTTGCAGCAGAAACATTCAATTATAAAAGTTTACGTTGTATTTTTTTTAAGGTTTGCGTTGGTACCTCCTTACAACCTTCCACCAAGTTCCCACTTCTCGTAACTCTGCCATTGAACGTGTATCCTGACGTGGCCCCCTTCCATCTGGTCGTCTGGCAACCCCGAGTGACCTCCGGTCAATCATCGCCCCGTTGCTCCTCCCGCAGCTGGCTGGCTTGTGCCCCGGTCGCTAACACACCTGTTTTTGTCAACGGTCATCGACTCAATCTGTCCGGTTTCCGACCTTACAGTCTTGATCGAAGACGCCAATTCACCCATCAAACCTCTTCACTTGCCCAGGAATCGGCCGTTCATTGGCTCACACCTGGTGACGTCATCCAGTTGGGATCGGGTGAGAGGTGTCGTTTCCGCATCTGGCCCGGACGCAGCCCGCCGCCACTACCGAACATCCCATCACTGGCTTCTACGTCAAGATTTCGTGTAAACGGAATCAATAAGTTGGTGGTGCGTAAAGTACCTCTCCTTGAACTCCCTATTTTCGTCTGCCTCTTCATCAGCAATTATACCCTCTTGATGGGGCTATGTAGAGAACTGCCCATTTGTGTTTAAACTCCAGTTGTTATTGAAAATTGCAACCATGCAATGCTATTTCGGTAATTCATGGAATATTTAGCATTTCGAACATTTGTAGGATTGTGTAATCTAATTTGTTCCGTTTATTGGTAAAGTTAATAGCATGGTTCGGTCACGTCTGGGCTACCCTGTATATACGTGTTGCATATGTCAGTGGACGAGTATACATATCTGTGATTTCCGGTATAATTATATTGTCAATAGAGGTGCTTACTTTCCGAGTACAGATTAGAAACCTATTTCCACTACATCATGGCGTCAAAAGTGGTAGTAATGATGCGATCATGATTTCATTACCAAGTCGCATAAAAGTGCGAGAACCAGCCCAGTAGACTTTTAAGAGCTCCTATAGTGAATGTAGTCAAGGCCAAAAATGTTATTTGTTGGTAGAAGTAAGTTATCATTATCTTAGATGGTTCCACTGGATTCACTGGGAATCTATTGGTAAATTCTGTATTTTTTTGACTTGTAGGTACCGACATATACCAGTAACTGTCATCAGCACCAGTCTGGCCGACTGAAGGTTCAGGCCAACCAGCAATACCATCGTCACCGTCAGCATCATCAACAGAAGCATCGCCCGATTTCCATAGATTCCACTAAATCTGACCTCTCTGACAACAGTTGCAGTATGGCCCTGTCTCCTACCTCGTCCGTGATGGAACAGGAATCTGGCGCTATCTTCTCCGACGCCGTGATGACTCCGAGAGAATCGTTTACTTCAAGTGGATCGTTCAGGTCGCCCATCATTGTGGCGAGTAAGCTAAGTTCGTTTCGTTAGAAAGTCAACTGCTGCTCGGTTGAAATGGAGCCTTCGCTTTAGACAATGCACTTTAACCGCCGACACAGTGGCATGCTCTGGGTTGAAGCTTTCTCAAGTTCAGTGGTTTTCACACGGCTATATGCGCAAATAAATGCGGCGTGTGAGCGCAATGCTTTACCTTTTGGAAAGTAGAGCCAAATTTCAGTGCTCTTATTAATATCCTAACCCGAGTTGACCTTCTGCTAAAGTGTTATGATATTCAATGGATTTAATAGTGAGAGGTGGGACACAAATCATTTACAGGTTTGAGATTTTTATCGGTCAAGTGAAATAAGTTCGAATGATGAATGAATGTTTCCTTGGCCTCGGCTTGAAGGTTCTTTCAAGTGATTTTCGCCTCCCACGCTTCCACTTATTTCACTTAAATATTAATTGAATTTGTGGAAAAGATAGTGTTCCTACGAATGCAGCTAGATCGGGTCAGGCTTTGTAATGATTTGGATCTGTGGGCTGCTGCGTTGACGGGAATTTGCTATTCTTTCCCATGCCTGTTGGATCACACGTCTGGGGACGCTAACGCACGTGCAAGTACACCTGCTTCTTCCGTTTTTGTTGTCTTTTGCTGTGGGCTTTGTCATCGAGTCGTGAAACTTTTTCTCCTGGCGTACGTGTAGATACAGTTGTGCATGTGTGCACAAATTCCCTTTTTGACTTTCTCTTGACCATCATTCGTAACATTCCCCTCCATTTATTTCCCGGTCTGTGACTGACCATCGGAGACCGCAGCTGCTAGAAAGCTCACTGGAAATTTTGCCACTCCACTGCCGCCAACCATTCTATCGGACAGTACAGCACAGTTCTGTTTCTCCAAATTTCATCTTAAGTTGATTTCTTTAGTCAAAATGCATTTCTGCGTGCTTGAATTCTTTCACTTTTGCGTAGCGGTTTTCAGGAAATCCATCGCCACGCTCTTACGGAAAAAGTGCGACGGCGGTAAAAAGGGTTGGGTCAGGAAGATACCGACACCAGGACTTCTTCCACCCGAAAGTTGCCTGAATTAAACCAGCGCTGTGAGATAATGCGAATGAAATTACTTACCTTAAGCGCAATCGCTGTCGTGCTAGAAGGCCTCTGGAACATATCTGATTTTTATAAGGTGCAAACTTACCTCGGTTGACCTCCCAATTCAAGCAATAGTAGCAGCATCTAAACTAGTAAAGTGCCTCGAGTATCTGCAGCTTAAAGATCTTTGACTGTCAGGCTTGTCTCATAAACTACTAATTAGTATAAATATTTGAATGGCTCTACAATGTCAATGACCTTCTCGAAACAATAGCAGTGTTTTTTTTTTCAATTAGGCTTACAGGCATTATATGAATGAGCATTTTTCTCAAAAAGCATTTCCATGCTTAAAACCCCCAAACCATGTATCTAGTACGCTGATACTCCGTCCATAAGCGATGCCTGTGCAACTTTGCTCTAATGGAAGCCCCGTCACGGGTGTTTCACAGGTCTTCAATGCTTTCAGACAACTCTGATTTCTGTTGCCTAAGTGTAATGCTTTGACAGTACCATGACCGGTCACTAGGCTGGGAATGCTATTCCCAATGGGCTTACCCCATTCTAACCAACAGGATATCACCTTCAATGTAATGAGGTAATGCAGATCAATGTATTCACTCCAGGTCTACTCCAAGACAATTGGCCCAAGTTCTACACAGTGCACTTGATCGACAAATAAACCGTCTCCACCTGAGTTCTTGAAGTAGTTTATCAGCTTGCTTGCTTGAGACTGGTGACTTTTGCGATGCCGATAAAACCTTTGCTTACGGAGTCTGATCGTGAACAATGTCATATTGATTGGTCTTTTCCAGGTACCAAATACACCGACAGTCGGATGCAAGCAAATCACCTCCAAGTGAAGCACGTCACGAGTTCTGCAACCTCTCCAACGCTCTCTACTTCGGGCATCGGAACATGTGAGTGTGATTTTAGAAGCTGGTCCAGTGACATTACAGCCACTGCAAGTCGCCCAGCATTCTGTAGCTGGTTTTCAGTTTGCTAACTACTGGACACTAAATGTACTTATTACGTATTTAGTGTTTACGGCGGTACATTTCAATATCTGCTATTCATGTGTACCTGAAGCTTGCATTACGTAATTGCTTTTTTATGCAACCACTGTCTTTATATTCACATTTCTTTTAAAAATTTAAAACTTATATTTAGGAGCGTATCCTGGTTGTTGCTCTTCTTACCAATTCGACACTAATAACCTCGACTCAAGCTTTTTAACTTCTTCCTTTTCACTTGCCTTGTATTTCTGAATGATTTTAACGCTCAGAGTTTATTCGAATTTGAAACACCAATTCACAATTATTAAAAAACACACTTTAATGGTTCAGAGTACATTCGGTCACGTAGTTTTGCGTCCATGTTAAGCTCCATTGGTTAAAAAAAGTTCACACTAAAAAATGAATGTCGCAAATGCGTGTGTTCATTCCTTTGCTACATTTGCATGTGACAGGTTTTCGGTAGCTGATACCCTTGAGGCCTAAACTTAATAAAGGCCTTCTTTCCATGTATCACCAACCACGGTTAAGAGTTCTGTGCAAAATTTATCCCTTGCAGTCGACTGTGTGTAAATTGAACTAGTAAAGATTGCTAGGCGTGAAGATATTCTCAGGTGAATCACTCTGCTTTCATCCTAATTTCTAAATAATTTGCCTGCCTGCGGTTACTTGTAGTCTTACCTTATGCCTTGAGTAGAAGTCAATAAGTTCTTGGACCGTCTTCCTTTTAGTGATGAATTTGGCCACCATAGTGGGAGACCACATGTGAACATTCATTAAGTGCATTTAATCCACAAGTCTAAAATAGGCGTACAAGTATCATTCGATTCGGGACCAAGCGCCATCGATGTCCGAACACGTTTTAAACAAAAGACATGTATATTGGGCGTCATAGGTCGATCGTGTTTGCAAATGGTCAGAATGGTCTGCGGGCTCCAGTGCCTGAAGGCTTCTTCGGTCGACGGCTAAGTCATCCCCACCGACCCCATTGAACGTGATATGCAAAGTTTCGTCGTCATAAATCTCTTAGTAATTCGTTTCTAGATTATCGGTTACATACTTAGGAACGTCCCTAAAGAAAAGCACTTTACCGCAGGCATTTTCGGCAAGGGATCAATCGTCTTGCTCTTACAAATTCTGCCTGAATTCACAGTATGCAGTCGAAATTAACGTAAATGTGAATGAATTTAACTTACTACTGATTTTGCCTTAGTTTTTATCCCAGTCGTGACTACGGCTCTATTGAGAGTAATACGTTTCATTAAATAGCAAACATTGGCTTTGGGAGGTACTTGTGCGGGAGCGCTTGTATCGTCGCACTCCTCCATAAATCTGCTCATTTACCACCCGCAGTACCATAGAAGACAGGCGGTGGCAGAGACAACGAAAAAATACATCACGTTTAGTAAATGAGAGTCAATGTACTAAATTCACTGGCTAAGCAATTGACCAACTTGGGCCAATCCCTAAAGTCCGTGAACTGTAAGCGCCTTGAGCATGTCCACCTGCAGGCAGGCTTAGACTATTGCTTACATGATCGGAGCCAACTTTAGCTAATATGCTAGGATCCATCACGAAAAAATAATCAACTTTTCTAAATGCATCCTCACGAGACTATTAGCAGAAGGGCCGAAAGGGTTGGTTGTGCCCTGTACTTTTTACTCTGTGCTGTGAAGGATGAAACTAGTACAGGGTAAACCTGATTACCACATCAACCCACTCTCTTTGTACAAAAAAAATCGAATTCTTCTTTTTAAAAAGTCGAATAGTTTTTTACTAGCAGTCCCACATAAATTGTCACCCTCAACGTCTATGCTCTTCTCATCTCTTACAAGGATTTCCCAAAGAAGAGTGGATACCATTGTGCACACAACTGGTTAAAATTATTTGATCCCTGTTGCGTACTTATAGCCACATTAGGACTCCGAAACACTAAAGAACACGATATCTCCACTGCAACACCGTGTGTACTCTGGTCTCACTTTGTGTCCGTACTAGTTTTCTCCAACCCATTCCCAGTTGTGTATCTACTCGTGTGCTGCCTTTAGCGGCACAAATAAGCCCCTGCTGCGTAGTTTCCGTTGTCTGATGCCAAACGTGTTTCTTTCGAACCAGCCAGTATATCTTATCTATAGCTACATTTTTTGGTAAAATTTTAGTGCCAACTGGTCCAAGTAGACCCGCTAAATTGCTTCTGAACGTCATTGTGGTTCACGCAGAAAAAAGCACATCCCTTGAATGCTCAATATTCCTGTTAAAATTTCACCTCCTTCAGGCACAAAGCAAACAGACAGCCGGTCAGGCCATACGCTGTCTGTTAGAAAGTCGCCAAACCACTCGCAGTTGTCAGACTCCGGCTCCCACGCCGCCGCACCTCCTCTCCTCGACCGGCTGCCCTGCCAACTGGCATACGCCCCCACGAGTTTGGATGCTCTCTTGGACTGGCTGCTCGTGAGTCCGTTCAGAATTCAAAAGGGCGAGGCAGAAGGGCCAGAGCCACTAACCTGTTCCCTCGGACCAGCCTTTAGCGTGTATCTCATGTTGCGGGCGATATGCCGTCAATGCGATCGCTGGGAGGCAATAGAGAATAGGAAGATGGCGGCTGAATCTGTAAGCCTTTGGCGTAGTACTTGTTCTACGTGTTCCATTCTGCTTCGAGAAATGAACCTAATAACAAATCCTGGATAAAACATTATTGGTTCAAACATTCCACTTCCTGTTCCAGTTTTTCCAGTCCCTCCCACTCAGTTTGTTACGATCACGTTCTCGGATCCTGTGTTGTAACGTTTTGCATCCCTAGAATGACGGTTGTATTGGTACCGAAATCCTATCCTAGAAGCAAAATTCTCCACCCGTGGAAATTCATTTCTGTGCAGATCTAAGTTACACATTTATTTAATTGTAAAAGGAAAATGAAAAAAAATGTCTTAGAACAATATTTTGGGTGGCTTCGCTCCCTTTTCAGGTTTTCCACCGCTTTAAATCGGTTTTATTAATGTAGATTAAAGTACATTTTTCCTTCATTAAAACTTACATGAGTGTCTCAACTAGAGTTATCTTCATTAAATCAAATCAGCCTTAAGCCAAATTCCTTAACAATGTCGATTTCGATTGGTGGATAAGCTATCATAGCAAGACAAGCCTATCGATTAACAATCTCCAGTCGTGGCCGCAGTGGTTTTTGAGTCAGTTCTAGTAAGCTAGAGATTTTTCTTCTACAAACGTGAATGTGCACAGGTAATCATCGTGTTCAACTGCATTTTGACGTAGCTGCCTTTGCTACCAATGTGTTTGGTGTCTTTGGTGCCACTCATATCGCTTGTACCTCAAACTGCTTTTATAGTTTCCTCATATTTTCATGAAGGTTTACGTTCATTTTCATGCGCTCCGCATTACGCCTTAAGCCCACATTATTTCATCGCTTACTTCACTTGAGGCATTTAAATATTTGCAGAATTTACAGCCTTTCTAGTGGATCGGTTTATTATCGCACAAAAAAATATTAAACGTAATCTGATCAAGGCAACTGTACAGCGGAAACGTGCAGTCTTCCAGACGTTAGCACGCTGCTTCCAGCAGTTTACCCGGTGGTTAGATTACTAAGGACAACCATGCTGCAGCACATTTCACACCTGAACACCTAAAACACACTCCAATCTGTTGAAGACAGCGTCAACAATGCCCTAAACCTGACCTCTTCCACTTGAATGCGAGAACATTACAATTGGAGTATTCATGTGTCCTGCTGAGGCGTCTGACCCTTTTGGGAAGTTGGCCTGACCGTGACTTGACTTCTAAACGACGTCCCAATTTGTTCCATTGTTGTACATGCTATAAGAGAGGGTTTTCAGAACTATAAATCATTTTACCTAATCAAAATTGGTCAAACCGATTCCAATCGATGGCGAATTGAAATGGAGCAAAGCCCGTTCAAAAATTAAGCGAAGCGTTTTAAGATATCCTTCTTGAAATATTGCATGCAAGTCCAAGGCATCTTACGTAGCCGAAGAAATAATAGCAATCCTGAGTTACCTCCGCTTGAGGATCCGAACCCATTATTAGCACCATTGTGTGATTTTGTACCTACCTTCATCAGTGGGTACCTTAATTGCGCTGTTTGCTAATTGGGGTTCTGCTCAAGTTATTCCCAGAAACTGTAATTTCGTGACCTGCCATAATATCCGCATGCCCTTATTCCTTATTTCTATGAGTCATCGGATCTTAAGATCAAGCAACACAGCCGCCGACAGCGTGAACTGCTGACTCTTTTCGTGGCCGTGGTTGATCGCCTGGTGTCAGTCGAGCGCCACTTGAGTGAAGAAATCTCGGTCGATTCCAATTCCCACAATGACCTCGAAGAAAGGGCTAAATTGTCTTCCATTATTCTTTCAAATCTAAGTCAGTTGCTGCATTTCGTTTCCAAAGACATCGACCTTCAGCGTATATTCCAGGTTGGTTTAGGCTGATTTCTTCATGAAGCAATTCACCAATTACTCTTGTTTGGCTTTCAAAAATTTTTAAGCATGATTTGTAGGTTTAATTAGCTCTTACCACCATGCGAGAAAAAATATCGTGGTAATTTTCTAAAGAGATGTTCATCCCTTATGGAACTAGTCGACCCATTTTTGACGGCACAATAGTATTCTACCTGGTGGAAAAAACCTGGCGGCATTTAATGATGACGGATTTTGAATGCCACTTTTGCTAGACTCCTGACTATGCTGTATATTACAGCTTGTTCAGAACTACTTCATCAATCATTATGTCTTTTTATGCAACTTTCCTTCTTTGCGATGAACCTGGAATCGGTTCGTGCGAAGGTCGCCTGAAAGACCCTGCATTACTTGATAATTATGCACGTGTAAAGATTATTTGATGCAATGAAATGTGATCTTTAAATTAGAAAAAGAAGAATTGACTTAGTGTAGGCTTTTTAGAAATCTTGTCAGCCCTCTTCGCGCTTTATAGCCCGGTGAAGAAGGCGAAGGTGCAGGTGAATGCGCGAACGCCTGGTTGGCCCTAACAGACCGCGTCGCCGAACTCGTTGAGTCCGTGTTCAACAGTCTTCTGGCAACGTGCACTGCGCTCCTCTCGTTCAAGCAGTGTCTTCCAGCTCTCGTGGCGTCTTGGGACCTTCGAGCAGCGACATGCCGCGACAACGAGTCCACTGGGGAGGTCAACGAGGGGGGAGAGGAACGGGAGGAGGAAATCGAGATTACCGATGATACTTCGATTGACGAACTGGTCAGTTTCAAAGTTGGTTGGTGGTCATCTTCAATTTTTTTAATGTTTTACTATCTTTGGGAACAAAGGCGTGTTAACAGTGAGTTCACTGTGTTTTTTGTGGAATTTATCTGCTACACAGTAAATCAATACTTTTGTTGTCGTTCGGGATCGTAAGCACCCTTTAATGTAATGCTCATCATGCAGGGTAACAAACTTTTCGCCACATTTAAAATCATGGGTGGAGACTGACAAATTCGTCTCAGTGTTTTAATGTAACTAGGTGGGTATTTAGGGTACACAGTATTCTCCAAGTTAAATGCAAGACTTAATTTCATCGCACTTGTTGCTAAAGTGACTTGGTACTAGCACCTCCTAGTGGGTCTTGGCACCCTTCTCGAAATGGCTCAGAGTCTTTCCGATGCCTTTCAACTGAAATCTGACGACGAGGCTTGCCGTGGGAGTTCTGACCCCAAATTCACCTAACTGAAAGCTCTTTTGCCGTCGTTTTTTGAACGCATTCGCTTACGAACAGGCGCCAAATGCAATTAGTGCTAGTTTAACACGTGTTGATTATGAATAATCAGCAAAGTGCTGCGCGCGTTTGGTTTGTTTTTTTGTGCTGACTGTTTTTAAACGCGGCTACCTCAGCCCACCGAAATGGATGTGCTTAGATCGTGTTGGTATAATTTTATTGTTTTATTTCTGATGCACAATTACCTGACTTGGCTCACAAATGACGTCTTTTGAGATTTTTGATGGCTTATTGCCTTTTTCGTGTTCTAGCCTGAAAACTGATGAAACAAAGTTTTTGGACGTAGGGCCAGCTTCAGTTTTATTTTAATTGCAGATTCGATGACCAGCATCTTAACATGACTACACGCCTATACTGAACGTAAAACGCTTAGATTAGAACGATAGTGAACGGTCGGAATACTTGTACACAGGGAACAGCATTTGCACTCCCGTGGTTGTGCAATTAGAAAACTTCCTCTTCCCTCCCCTGCAATAGCCCCGTTTGTTGCACAAATCCTTGAAAAGACGTTAGCTGCCAAAACAGAGTTGTTTTAAAAACGCCAACTCCTCTGAGTTCCTCGGGTTGACGTCTTGTGTGAAATGCTGCGGATGTGTTGCATTTTCTTTTTAAGAAGTGATAGTGATTGTGGGAATTTGGCAGAGAAAATCAGGGCTCATTTAAGGTTATTTGCGTCCTGCCTTTTGGGACGGACTTCTCACCTTCGCTCTCGGCTATAATCTGCACCACTTCCATTTCATTGCGGTTTTCTAGTAGTGTTCTTCTGACCTAATTTCTGCGGTAAAATCAACCCCCACTGGTTCAGCTGCATTGTTTACGGCTGTTCAAGTGCTTGAAATCCCACGGCCATTAAGTTTTTCAAATTGCCTACCTACCAACTGCCCTCCTCCTCCCCCTCCTCCTTCACGCTCATCACAGATATTTTCAGACCAGAGATTCATTACCTGTCCACGTGACGTGGGGCGTCGTCATTAAGAGTAGGCTTTTCGTTTCGGAATTGGTAGAATTAGACTAGTGTGTTAAGTTGCTGAAGCCCAGTACTTGCTTATTGGGTAAAGAACACCTTCCCTACTGCCACCGCTTAATTGCTTCACTCCCCTCAGACAATTCATCGATTGCACGTAAGAAACGCGGTGAATAGCAATGGTTTTCAGTCGTGTTTGTACAGTAAATGTTGAATTCGCACCCACATAGATGCCTTCTGTGTCCTTCTATCTACTGCCTAATATGTTTACGTGTTCTGCACTGACCCATTTATCTCATAAGAGTTTAATGTCAAGGGGTTCGGTCCCCAGTTCAATTAAAAATACCGTGGTGGAGGGAGATTTCAGATGTAAAGAATGTTTGGCTACATATTTAAACTTCCGTGCTATTTAGATTTTGTCTAAAACCCGGATTTAACTTTGAGAAACTCTGCACCTCTGTTTATGTGGTTATGTAGACTGTAGAGTCTAAAGTCTCATTCGTTGTTTTCATCATCTCCACGTAATATGCCACTGGAGCACAATGCGTGTTTGGTTCTTGATATCACTGAAGTCCATTCTATTGGAAGCTGACGCCAATTTACTAAACAGTAGAAACAGTTTATGGGTAACAGAATTATGCTATTTCTGTTGTTAAGGTGGACCCAGTTTTGGATGAGCTCACGAAAGTCCTCGACTTCTTGAACACAAATTCAGTTAATCCGGCATTCCTCGTGCAATTGTTTGCGCGCCTGCTGCACTACATTGGTGCGCGTCTCTTCAACTGCCTGGTGGAGGAGCCGAGGCGAGTTTCGCCTCAGTGGGGCCACCTGCTCTTCGAGTGGATCCACAAGAAGCTGGTCTCGTGGGCGGAGCCACAGGGCCTCCGGGTCGCGGTGGAGTGCTACCTCACCCGTCTCTCACAGGTCTGCAGCCTCTCTGTCTCCTATTTGACTGGTGGCTTACACCGGGCCAGTTATCGGGCCATCTAGTCGCTTTAGTTTTACACCACTTCACACTCACCTTGCTCAATGCACCCGTCGAAACGGTAGCCAAGTTGTATAGCAAGCGATTGCATTTAAATGACTTTCCAGTCTCATCCATCTCGAGGCTTTAAATCAATTGGCAATGCTTCACCTTGGTGGCTTAATTACCTGACTAGGTTCATTGTCCCGTAAAAATATTTTCCGTGCTGCACTTTGTGCTAGACTAGAGTCACTTTGATATGTCTAGAAAAACGAACAATACCTATCTGAGTGTTACATTTAAATCTGTCTGTATTGCATTTCCCCATTTTCCACGCAAGTGTCGCTCTGTGTTTTTTGTAAATGCACTCGTCTCCAGCCAAATGTCACAACTACAAAAATATACTTCGGGCGCCAATGTTCGATGCCGCCAATGCAAATAAATTATTTTTGGAAACGTTGTGTTTGGGGACGCAGAGGCGTCACCACCATTGCAGTCGAATTTTCGTATTTTTCGCTTGAATCTTGGTTATTTCGTCCCTGAAGCAATTTCCTTGGACATGACACCACTAATTTAGGAAAATGGTTCTTGGCTTATGAAATCAAACGTGACAAATAGACTTATTTCGTGAAAATGAATTTGATGAAGTGACATTGTGACGTGATTCTGCTGGCATTCCTGTTCTCTCTTGAAGCGCTCCATTCTAGTGACTTCAAAAACTCGGTTCGCTTTTGCAGCATTCTAAAGCATACCTGTGATTTATTCGTCTTGGTTCAGTCTGTAGCTCTAGCCTCGGTATAAGCCGTTTATGTAAACGGTATTGAGTGTACGTTTGTGCAGAAAACGTTTTAAACTTAACTTTCGGTACACGCATGGATGCATTCTAGCCAAAAGCACCAAACTGTACAGACAAATCAGGTTTGTAATAAGAAAGTGAAGAACACTTTTCCACCAAGTAATATGCTGCTTCATATCTTCGAAACACTTCTCCACAAATAGTTCTGCTTGTTCTCTGTCCTGTGGGATGCCTTTTTTGGGTTTTCGGCTTCGATGTTGGTATGAAGTACATCTATATTTGAAAAGTCGCTTTAAATTCATTCCTAAACTGTAACCGTTAAATTGAGTCTTGCATATTCAATTCGAAAATTAATACAAATTGAAAGCCTCTAAATCTCATTACCACCAAACAGCAGTTTCATTACGTAAAAACCATTGCCCGTGTCTTATTACCTCATGTTTTACACTACTTTGAGCTAAAATAACCAGGTATAGTAAACGTAAGACTCATCGTTGAAGGTAAATAGCATCCTGCTGATTTATGACTACGTTTGTGTCTAACAAAGTTCATGTCGCCTATTTTCCAAAGATGCATACTTTCAAATATTCGAGGGGCTATAGGTGCCAAGCGAATATTAGGCTTTTGGGTAAACGTATCCGCATAATAATTCATAGTTGGCGTGTGTACAAGAAAAAGAATTTTTTCTACCTGCTACACCACTCAAATTCTAGGCGAACTTATGTGTTTGGCTTAACGTGGGAATTTCTTAACAATAATTATGACTGTTATGTGAATAAAAAAAACCATTATCTTTTTAGCATTTTGCTAATATGTCGGCTTATCGGAGATCAACAGCTTTTTTGAATTAATTTGCACAACCATTGCGAAATTAAATAATAACAAATCTCTTGTAAGGCCGCCGACTTGATGCAAGCCAGCACCGAGACCGTGGAGGGACTCTACAACTCTGCCGTGGACCTGGATAGGCTAAATTCTGTGCAAGTCAGATTTCTACTGGAGGCTTATCGGCCCTCATACGCGAAACCCGTGGTTAACGTGTCCCTTGAAGCCCAAGCCGGGGAGGAGGCGGGCAAGTCGGAGCACATTCTGCCCCAGTGGATCGACTTCATCATTTCTGGTGTGAGCCAGGTATGGCCGCCTTCAATTTAACCAAACTACTACCATCATGTTTAATCTGACTCAGTGTCCACATGAATGGGGTCAAAATTAAACACCTTTTACAACGCACCCTGACAACAGTAGCGGATGGTGAAAATGGCTACTGCTATATTCTTTAGGTAGCCGTCCTTATTGTTCGTGATCGTCAATGGAACTTAATCTTGGTTATGGCACAAGCAGTAGAGTCCGTTTGCGTTCCTGCAGTTCAAATTTCATTTCGTTTTCGAATTGTAGAATTAAATTTTCCTCAATCATACTCTTGAGCAAAACCTTAGTCAGTCTGTGGTACGGTAGAGTTAATCATTTGTTTAAATATCAATCGTAAGTTTGGGGAAAACCACCGACTGGAAATTGAGTGGCACCGACAGTCGGTGTTTCAGTTTTGCTGCCTACCATTCAGCTCCAGGGATAGTCGCATTATTTATGCATTGGCCATAATGACCAATGTGGACTGATTCCAATTGCATTAGTATTTTAGTGCTTCTTTTTACCGATAATTACTCGTGCTGTTTTCTATGCGAAAAGCCCTTGCGCTAACTTTTGGTTTCACTGGATCCTTCGCAGTGTTTAATTTCATTGAGAATTCATCATACAATAGTGAGCAAAAGTTTCAAGTATTATTCAATCATGCTTTAAACAATCGATTCACTTGCGTTTCATCATATTTCTTTTTTGCTGTTCCAAGTTATTTGGGAGCAATAGGTGGAACGGATTTAACTCATTCACTTATGTTTCATTCTATTTATCCACCGTCGTGCAATAAAGTGTTAGGTATGATTAATCCTCCGCGTGCGTAAGCCTGTATATCTATCATTTCTTTTGATTTTTCCATCTTCAAATTCATAGGTCTCTGACCGCCTACTAGCCGAAGAATCCGAACAGCCTGACTGGAGACCACATCTGCGTGAGCCTCTGGAGCTTCAATTGCCTCTGCTGCTGCCCGATGACTGCTATCCCTCCTCCATCCCCATCCGAAACCCCCACCTCGAAGTCAACCAGGAGACCCCCGACAGTGGCCAATCGGGTGCTCTTGAGGTGTCCCACCTCGCTGCCTACTTGCGTCCGGCTCTGGCGAATGGGTGGTGCCGTCTGTCTGTGCGACAGGTGCCCAGCATGGAGAACGAAACTTGGCTTTCGTGGACAGTCTATCTTTCAGAGGAAATACCGACTCCAGTGCATCTCAGTAGGCCTCTCAGTGAACGCGAGAAACAGATGGATAGCCCCGGACCAAGAGTAAGTATGCTGAAAGCATTGCGCAGGGACAATTTTTCCGTGGGACTGTGCCCCATTTTGCAAGCCTCTTCCGTACCCAAGCATTCAATAAGAGCACTGCTTATTTTGGCCGGAAATCGAATTTATATGTGAAAACGTCTGATAGGCCGACATTGCTTAAGCGTAGAACCGATGGATTGTTAAAATGTGCTTTGTGAATGGGTTCAGCCTACGTATTTCAATTTAAACGTAAAAGCTTCATATTGGATCATCCACACGCGTGGAGGACGCACTAAACGACTTGTAATGTCCACACACCCCACATTGTTGAGGCTGCCTTCAGCCAACTAGAGCCCCGTGGCCCACTACACTTTGCGCCCATCCATACTGTGGAGAGTTCGCAGGTCCTAAGTGCACAAACCTAGTTATTAACCTCCATTGGGTGTTTTTAACCACAAAAGTTTTGCTCAGGCATAAATTCTGCATCCCAAGTGAGGCGATCTGCGAACTGTGCAGCAAATTCGAGACTGCCTGGTTTCTGTTTTCTTGGCCGCTGCGGCCTTTTAACTCCGGTTTCCTCCTGTCCCCTCGGATAAGCAGCGACATGAACGTTGGGAAATCTTCGCGTGCTAATTCATTTATGATCTAGATTTGCTGAACTTGAACTGTGACTATTCACATGACGCGTTTTGTCTCCTTTTTCCTCCACATCGCTTCCTCCAAGGCGTTATTTGTCGAACACATTCCGAAACGAAAATTTCAGAATGTGCTTAAATTTCGCTTGCTAAGCTAACGGCCAACCGCCTTATTTTAACGTAGATTTTGTTTATGGATGAAACCATTAATACTGCCTTTTGCAAGTGTAATAGTTTCGACAAAAATTTTAACCTCGGTTTCTGCTTAGCTCAACTACACGTTTGATGCCTAAGCGGTTAAATGTTGTTTTATTTTTTTTTTTCAAATCTTTCCCAACCTCCCGTTTGGACTTGTTCGTTTTAATTTTCTGTTCTTAACTTTCTTCTTCAATGTTGCATTTACAAATGGCACAAAGCAGGCTTTTTAGAAGCCTAAGGAGGTTAATTGCAAAAGTCGAGATATCTTATTTACGTCTTCCACTTCAAGGAAAACTGGGCGTCGGATGATTGAGGCTAATTTTAATATAATTGCGAATTAAGTAATTTGCAGCAGCACGTTGTTTAAAGAGTTTGTTTACATAATTTTTAGCAAATACGACGCTTGTTGAAATACATTAATCCATCAATTATAGAATACTAACGCTTTTATACTCTAACGGATTTTATTGCTTTGCACGAATTTCCCATCATGTTGCATATGATACTTCACCGGATATAACGTACTGATATTCTGACATTGTGTTGATGGGAATTCCTGCCATTTCGCTGATGGATTTGTGTAGACTCGATGCTCAGAATTACAGCCCACCGAATTCCATCGCAAGTAATATTACAGTTAAACAAATTTTGACGTTGTCCTCGCTTCACTTGTTAACCATGCCCTTTTTCAGACTCCACCTGCATTTGAAGCACCTTCTCCTCCAAACAAAGAGAAATCGCTCAACGTTCCAACCGATCCACCTCCGTCCTCCACGTTTATGTCGGACCGTTCACTCGAGTTTCCAAAGCTGGAGGAAGGGCGGAATGTCAAAATTTTCGATGTAGCAGTACCTAAAGTCGGTAACAATCTTGGCCTCAGGATCGTTGCTGCCCGAGTAAGTCATCATCACTGATGACGCCCCCAAGTCTTGTAATTAAAAAGGCGTTGCTCCCTTTGGAGTTTCGGGAGTGGGTGTAGTAGACCACCAACTGCAGAATCCAACCACCGTTTTTATGGCACAGAGTGCCTTTGTTGTCAGTCCGCACTGACTCTCCACTCTTACATCAGGTTCCAAAAAAGGTGTCCTATGTGCGCCTTGCATAAAAAATACGTGTATCTGAAAGAATGCAAGTTCCTGCTATGTAATTCAGATGTTGTGTTTTGAATATACTGTAAAAGTGGTTTCGGAAGATAACCAGGACAGGTTTTTAAGACCGTCTATTAAATTGCGTTTTGGCCATATTTTGCGACGGATCTTACTTCCAATTTAGGTGGGGGATGATTGCTAGTAGCAGGTCATTGGTGCAATCAAAGGGCATTAGGTGCGTAAAATGGTGAATTGTCATCCACTGACTTTTGGCATTGCGAGATAGATTGATAACGGAAGAACATTTGACATTTTCGCCCAGTCCGAAGATGGGAGTGACCTTGGGATTTACGTGAAATCGGTTACTCCCGGAGGAGGCGCGTCACAAGCCCACCTTCTGAACAGAGGCACTAGTCGAGAAGATGAACTTGCACCGCACCCTCCAATAGCTCCAGGAGATCGAATTTTAGCAGTTGATGGAAAACAGACTCAGGGGCTGTCGCAGGATGCGGCTGCCCGCCTGGTCCTCCTCGCCGGTCACGAGGTTCATCTGACTTTGGCAAGGAATCTGGGTCTTGGATGTGTCGCCGCAGCAGTGCCAGCCAGGGATCTCCGCAAGAGAAACGGGCAAGCGCAAAATCGACGACACACCACAACACCTCAGGTGGGCAAGTTTGCTCCTTTACTGGCCCATTAATATCCATAAAATGCTGACAGCATCACGAGTGCTTCACCTCAGGGATTTCACAACCGCTTCCACCTTCCTTATATGCACATTCAGGTAATTTCGCTCAAGTGCTCTTGTCATGTCGTAACTAATTAGCATAAGCACAGACAAGTTCTATGTACGCCAGTGGTTTTTTTTTTGCTTTTTAAACAGCTCTTGATTGTGTACGATACTCAGGATGAGGGCCAGATTGGATTTTACCTGGTGTCCCAGTTTATAAGTTGAATGAACAGAGCCGTGCGCAGAGAACCGCCATTGGAAGGTGGTCGCAGTTGATGTCGAGTCGCCCTCATCTTCTGCGCCCCGCACACGCGTCTGCACCTGCACGACGCGGTCATAAAATGGGGTCACTACCCAAGTAGAGACACGACCTTCGTTTATTGACTTGCCTTGTCCGGGGAAGAGCAAGTTAGGCTCGGTGACACTGCTGGAAAAGGGGTCGAGGCAACTGGCCAAACGGATACGTGGAGTGTCTCTGAGGCAAATTAATGAAGAGGTGTAGATCTGTGCTTAAGTTAGTTTCATGGGGTGGCTCGATCCCAACCTTTTCAATTTTTTATTAGCTAATTTCACAAGGATTTTTCACGACGCATTAGCCTGAGATGGCTTTCATTTATCATCCACCCACAAATGCCCAAATTCTTCCTACAATTTTATTCACAGCAGTTGGCTAGATGCATCGGTTGAGACAGGGCAAGGCATTCGCACCCCAGGAATGATTTTCACTTCGTGCATTGTTTATTATTTGTGTTGATTTAAGTCTGCTCTGACTACAACTGCCTACGTCGTTCTGCCTCTTCAAACACCAAAATAAGCACTGCCTAGTTAGTAAATGAATAAAGTTTTTCTTGTCAACCTCTTGTCTACTGCCGCTTTAGTCTGAAAAACTTGAAATCGTTTGACGTTGACATTCCTCGTCTAGACACGATTGCTGTTCACTATATTGAGTTGCAATTGTCAAGGATATTACGATTAATAAGCTTTAATAGCGTTCACACCCTCACCACAGCTTCGGAGAGCCAAAGTTCATGAAATTGAACGTGGTAATTACAAAGAAGGCTTGTCCACTGCTGTCTCAAATCCCGCCATTGTAAGCGTTTGGCCCATAGTGACTAACATTTCGGTCCATTGTACCATTAAGACCAATTTTGACGTACTCTATCGTTTTCATTTGAGTAAATTAAAAAGTCTCCTCTCAAAATGACCGATATGCTCACTAATTCGCTCACATCGGACGGAGGATTTTGGACACTTGATGGCCACTTTTGACAGTTTCTTTAAAAAATGGTTCACTGGGAAATGTTTAAGTACCAAAATAAAAACGCGTGCCATCGATTCTTCTTCCGTTTGAGGAACTTGAAGTAGGCAGTAGTGTGGCCTTAGAGTTAACACGGCGTTAAACCAGTGACACATTAGAAATCCACGAAAACATTCCACTGGTGCCTGAATGAGATCTCTAAACGTCGGGTCGACTAGAATTTGTTCGCTTTCATCACTGGAAAGTCAAGACCCTTGCCAAAAAACTTTATGCTTAGCCTGAATATACCACAACCCACAATTTATCAAAATAGGATATAATTCATTTGATCGTTTTGGGAACTGTTTTGGATTAGTGGCTATTTTTTCGTTAGCCGACTCTTGTGCACGAAATTGCATAACGTAAAGGCCTGCCACAAAATGACTCACTCTTGGCTTGCACACCGCCTCTGATCAATAAACGCGCGAGCCTGTTCGTGCGCGTGCGTGGTCTTTCTCATTTGCAGTGCTAATGTCTGTGTGTTTATGTGTTGCCGTCCGGAAATCACGCCGGAGACGCACCTTTTGTGTGTGTGTGAGTAGTGCATGTTGCGTGTGTGTGCGCAGGGTATTATTTAACGTGCAGATTCTCAGAGAAGCACAATAATGTCTAGCCGGTAGTGGTTTGTTTTCTTCTTCCTCATTGACTTGGCAAGTAGGGTAATGTGCTAATATACATTGAAGTACCTCGAAGACTCAATTCCTTCGGATGATGCAACCGTACGACGCCAATTACACTTGATGCCAATAAGTCTGAACTTTTGTGCAAGGATTCTCGTTTTATCTCAGTACCTACTAACTAGTCATTTCTCACACGTGTTGTGGCGAACTGTTACGCGAGGCACCCAAATAAAGAAAAGAGGGCAAAAGGCATTGGAAACTCGTTATTTGTTATGGCACTAGACACAGTAGTGTGCGTAGGAGTGTGAACAGGTGGAAATAATGGCTGAAGTAATTGATGAAGCAAAAACGGGTGCACTAGTAAGCGGACATCAGCCTAATTGACGAAGCTGGACGATGTAAGTCGCCACATCGGTACGTCATGTAAATCATCTCGAAATTGTCCCCCACTTAACGCGAGCTCCTTTAGCCAAACGCACATGTTATATTTTCTGGTGGCGTGGAAACACGGGACTGGGCCAAAGTGAGGAGTGCGCGGCCTTCTCTAAGACCACCTGCACTCGCTGTAACTTGGCCGTTGGGCCCAAACTTTGAAGGGGCTGCAGCAGGATTTTCGTGCTTTTACTTAACCTCCCACATTCACCAGTATGCGTTATAGTGTCATTTTGACTGCAAATAACTTCACTTTCATTTCGTTGCTGCTTGTTTTTTTATAGTCTGCAGACCTCCAAAAAGCAGCGATGAAAGTTACTTCGTGTGCCCAACCCCCCAAGGACTCCCCCATTGTCGTTCGCGCATCTTCCAATACAAATGGCCGTCATTCGGTTGAACACGTTGACATTCAATCAGGTGGTGTTGCTTCCGCCTCACTCCCATCTCCACGCATTTTGGTCGAGACCAGTTCGCTTCTCGCACATGAAGTCACCACCGTTTCTGGCATCCAACGAAGCAGGTCCCTAATGTCTGCGGACGTTCGAGATCGGCGATTTTCAGTTGAACGTGGGAGTTACGACATTGCGGAGACACCACTGTCCTCCCAACCAAATGCGGTCTCTCATGCTCCTGAACTATCAAGGCTTTCTATCATGGACGGCAAAGGTTGGTCTCTACATACCCTTTCGCCAACAACGCATTCCAAATTGAGGCAGCTCAATTCGTTGAAGATGCGTATCGACAATATTTCTTCCGTTTATCTTAACCATTTTGACTCGAGTTAGGTCAATGGCGTCTTTTAGATTTAGAAATTATTTTTGATTAGCTGATATTAACGTATTTTCATCGATATAACGTTCCCTTGACAAAATTCATGGTTGGAAGACGACGCGCTCTGCTCACTGCCCATTGAATGCACCAAAAGCGATTTCACAAGTTAATTCGCTTGCGATTTTGTGTATTGTTGACTTACATTTTACAGACGCCGATCGGATTCTACGCCCGATTAATGCTCATCAGTACAAAGGTGTCCAGCCGGCTGACTGGAAAGAAATGGACGTTGACGAGACAGTACGTTTCCTGTTCGTAGCACGACAGTTGGACGAAATGGCCTGTTCAAACGCAGTTTTGTTCCACAACGCCTCATTTCTTGCTCTTTTGGAAAGAGAGATTAGTTTTTATCATGATATTAAAATCTAGTAAACGTAATCTACTAATTTTGCCATTTTATCAACAACCACATATCCCAGGGGTTAAGGTTGGCTTAAGGTAATTTTGTCAATGCGCATTACTTACGTCCACACTACTTATTTTCAGGAATTTGCGTAGACAACACCCTTTAATGCAACCTTTATAATGTATAAGCCTAGTTGATACCAACTGAAAGCCATTCATATGCTAGCATTCGCTTTATTCGTTTTGTCAAAAATGAAATCGTAGCCATCAACTACTGGTTCCTCGCTGCGTAGCAGTAATCAGTCACTTTGTATTCCACTTGTTCGCTGGTGCCTGTCGAACCTGCAAACACTGAGTATGGTTTACTTAATAGCAAGACCAGTTCATTTTCCATGGAACTGTGCGTCGGTGTATAAACAAATGAACTGTGTGAACACCAGTCAAATGAGTTAAAAAGCAGCAATTCACTGATCTATACGTGAGATACTAAGTGAGGATGCAATCATCGCACTTGGGAGCAGGTTGCTTATGATTCATGATACCCATTCGCGGTTTTTGTGGAGACATCTTTTGTGCCAGTGTCGGTGGTCTGAACGACGTGACAACCCCCCCCCCCACCCCCTACAATCGTATCCCCAAATAGACTTACCGTAGCAGTCACGAGCCGTGCTGTGGGTAGCCGATTGAACTGCTGGTTCACCTCTACCAGACGATCAAACCAAAGCCCAGGTCGAAATATTCCAAGTACTTACTAGATCATGTGCATTCTGCTTATGCTGTACTCAAAAGTCTGTTGCACATTTCTACAGAACCTTTTACCAATTTTGTGTGGTTTCGGGAATTACATTTCAGACGATAACATCTTATGATCTATGTAGCCACCCATGTTATTTTATCAATTTTTTTTAAATTCTGAACTCATCTTACATATCACTAATGACTCGCATGCCAATATTCTTCCTTAAATAAAATACTGCTGTTTAAAGTGATTAATCAGTGAACAGAGAAAAAGTGATACCTTGCTCTCAAATCAGACTCCAGGTTGGGCTCATTTTAGAAATTTAAGACAGCATCTTCAGACCGAGGATGCGGTGTGCGTCACTAGGTCAAAAGACATCAAATATTTCGAAAACAGGGTGTCTTTTTTAGCTGTTTTAACAAAATCGAAGTAACTGTATACTCAGTAGACTTATTTTACTGCCACTGTCGGAAAAAGCCCTTTAATCTTAGCATTACTTTTGATAAATAATCTATGCATTTGTCTAGAGAAAAAGTCCTTTGCCTTCTAACACCCTAAAAGCTTGTTCGTCTGTACTTCATTTCAGATTGTCAGTGGGTTCGAAGAATAGTTATGCTCATCAAGAAATTATAGCCCGTTTTTTTCGCATTTGCAAGAAAAAGTGTGAATGATATGTGGTTCACGTTAATCACCAATCATGGCTGTGAAATACCAAAATGTTCAACAGGACCTAGTCGTTGGTCGTTGGATACCTGCGCAACCTTGCTTTTATAACAGTCTGCAGGTTTGTGCTTTTTAAAGTAGTCTCACCGTCGCACTTTCTCCTTGTAGTTGGAAATGCTAAAGGAAATGCGAGACCAGTTAGACCGCAGTCTGGCCCTCAGAGGTCAGCACACCACGTCCTTCCACGCACCGCCTCCTCCTTCAGTTATCTCGTAAGTCCCAAATACCAAAGCGGGAAATCCTTACTTTGTGACAGTCTGTTACTTCGAATGGGAATGTGCGTTTCACACCAAGGTTTTAAAGTCCGTAGAAATCAAAGCTCTGTTGAGCACTTTATTCTTAAAATGTGATGTCAATGTGCATCCATTCAACTTTCGCCCGTGAACCTAACTTTGCATCGATTTGTGATCTCTAACACAGCGTTCGATGAAGCCCACTTTTCTGTACACAAGACCTGGAATGTAGTCTTCATGCTAAAGCTGCTTCAAGCCATGATGTTAGAAGTGGAAGAACTGGTTTATTCACCAATCAAAAAGCATGTGTTGTTGTGTGTGTGGTTGTATTTTCAAATGCCGACGTTAGCTGCCTTCGGTGGATGAGTTTGTTAGTGCTACATTTCAATCATTCGTTCCGTATATTGGCCTAGAAGACCAGTCGGATTCGATCAAGTAGACAAACTTGAGCACTAACTTATGCACCAAGCCTACCAAGTCTTTTTTTAAAATTATTATTAAATGTAAATGCTCAAGGTTTACTAAAACAGACCGTGCGTTTCACCGCTATCAAGGTTAAGCAGCTTTGCAGCCTACTAGTGTACCTACCCAATCTAAGCTTTGTTACAGTAAACTATCAGCCCCGATTTGTACAAGTGTGTTCATCGTGATAACAAAGAACCAGAGAGACCTCGTTTTTGTGAATAATTACTACGCTTCATCTTGGCTTGACAACGGTGACTTTTTCGTGTAGATAATTAGCTATCGTGGAATGAATCTGTCGTAGCAGTAAAATATCGCTTACATTTTTCTCAGTTTATGCTAATAGTTCTAGATGCGTCTTCGTGTACATAAATAAAATGCGCATATTCTATGGGTTGTGGAATTGAGGGTGGTAACTCGATGCCTAAAACTGAATAAAATTCCTAAAGGAAAATTATTTAGGCGTTCGAGGTGAGCTGGCGTTACCACAGTTGTGATTTGGTATTTTTCAAATGTTTGAGTGTTTCGGAAAGCTCTAGTCTGACTGCATCGAGGGACGTGCTCACCACTATTTGCCACATTTTGGGTGCGAAACTGCGCTCTCTGTTTGAGGTCGGTGCTTGGGACATTGTCAAACACCGATAAAATCTCGCTCAAAGCGAAGAGAATGCTAGTAATTTATGGCTCGTTTTTGTTACTAGTAAATGGGTTAACTTGTATCACCAGTGAACAATGTCAGATTTGAGTTGCAAGTAGTTATTTCCATCGTCAGCATTTCTTGTAAGATTGCATCCAAAAATTGTATTTCAAATTATATTGAAAACCTGTTGCATCTGCACAACCTTTAAAAAAAATTGAATTCGTTTGCTAAGAAGTAAGGAATTTCGTCGCCTTTTTGTTGCCTTTTCCTGTCCTTGGATTGCCAAAATTTGCTAAATCGAACGAGCTGCAAAAAATTTACCGAAATGATTTCGACGAAAGACGCGCGCATTGTCATCGTCAGCGGTCACAAGGTGGAAGAGCGAGGTAAGGTAGTTCGCTTCGGCAGTTCGGGCCTAAGAGCTGAACAGCGTCAAGTGTCATTCGGCAGTCGCAAAGGGAGACTCTAGGGCTCTGTTCGAAGCCAGATCTGTTAATTGACTACTTTGTGATAACATTTCTGAATATTTTTCTACTGAATTCACAACACCAGTTTCTTATTGTTCGTTTACCTAACAGAGATGAGGATGGGCAGCTTTAAGGCTGTGAAAACCCAAACATGTTTTGCTCAAAATTAGTAATGTTGCGTCAGTTGTGGCAACAGCACTATTGTGTTTTTAATCCATAGTGATTTCTTCGACTTCGCTATTTTAAATTGATTTACATTTTCACATACGATTAAAAAAATAAAAGATTTAATAACAATGTCACTTACGCGTTGTTCCACATAAGCAAAAGGTATTTTGGCATTAAGCTGTGTTCGATGGCGGAAATATGGGGTTCTTGACTTCCAGCATTGGACAATCACAGTCTGCAACTTTGTTTTGAAGTCGTTTAAAACTGCGATTGAAGATGTCTTTGGAATGTGTTGTGAGTGTTTACAGGGCCATTTAGGTAGCAAGTAAATTTTCAAAGATATCCGTGGACTAACAATTTCGTTGTTCAAATCTGTGATATTCAAGTTTTACTGAGTTAAAATAGAACTGCGTGTTTGCAACGATGGATGCACTTGACAACTATAACGAAGAGTCAGGCTACCTCACTTTTTCTTGATAAAATAGCTGCCTTTTGCAGTCACCTCTCTCCTGCTCACAGCACTGTATTGCTGCTTAAAATCTAGCATCATTTCATCATTTATGAAAAGGTTTGTAATTTTCTAATTGTTTTTTTTTCTCAATAAAATCGGATTAATAGAGAATGAATGAGTAGAAAAGGTGTGTGCTCAAACTCAGCTTGTTTCTGGTCTGAAGGGATTCGAAGACTAACCATTGGTCGTTGTAAATGGCGTTGGTTGCATTTGAAAACAAAATGTGCTGAAAGTCTGGCTTCCCAGGAACCCTGCCAATCGTAGCTGTCAGAGATATTTGTCCAAAATTAAACCAAAAAATATTTTGTGCTCATTTTCTTATTTCAAAGTAAAGCCTACTCAGATTTATTTTGTATTTTATTACGTCTTACAAGTCATCATTTAGCTATAAATTTGGTGTTTTTTTTCTGAGCCTCTTGGCAATGCTAAAATTTAAGCTTGACTCAAGAAAATACTATAATCGCAACTAAAGTTGAAAACTACATTCATTTTTTGTAAAAATGACCTTACATCACTCCCCAATAACGATGTTTTCACGTTTTGAACATATTTAGATGCAATTGTGGAACTTGGGACTTGTACAATAGCCTGGATTGCAGACATATATTATTTTAATATTTTTTACTTCGAAACTGCAAGTATTATGTGTTTCTTAAAAATGGTCCGAGTAAACCACGAAACGCATTCTCCAACAAAATTAGAATAGGGAACACTTGAGCACTCTTGATAAAGTATATTAGGCATCATCGCTTTTTAAGAGGGGCCACAGGGTCTCATTACAACCGAGCTATAAAATGTCCATGACTGCTATTATTGTGTGGTAACGATTAAAATACCTGCAAAATGTGAGTTCAGATTTTGCCGAAGAGTTAAATAATCGAGCACATTCTTTACAAATGCCGTTGCTAAGATGGAGTAGGTAAGTGTCAGTTGATGAATCTTCGTCGCTAAGAATTTTTACTTAGATTTCAAAAAGTGGCCTCTAGTTTGCTCCTTCACTTTTTAACTTCTTAATCTCTTCATTCCAGCTACGAATCACTGTGCTGTAAACACGTCACAGAAAAAAATCAAGAACAACACTGCATTTGCATGTTTTCTCTTTAGTAGATCATGCCATTCTTTCTAATTAACCATTAATTTTTCTTTTGGGGGAAAACAATTGCAACGTGTAAACGTTTTAACGTTGTTTTGTACAAAATAGGATGAAATGAGTTTCCTTGTCATTTGGGGAGTAAGCGAACAGTCAACGGCCTTTTCCTCACCTACAACTTTTGCACCTACTCGTAAAAAGCATTGTGAAAATAACCATGCCTAATACAATGTCGTTTCGGCTTTTAAAACCTGTGTAATTACTTGCTGTAGCCCTTCGTTCTGCGGCATATTGGTGTTTGTCTGAAGTCGCTTCACAATTGTCTGTGGTTTATGATGAAGGTGTCTCTTTATTACTCGCAGATGTTCAACTGCTTTTAAGCAATTCAAATACAAATGGTCTACAATTTAATCTACCGAAACAGTTTAGTTTGCAGCGTCAGAATCGCATCTAAATTTTGCATCTTAAAAGTTATTTGAAGGCATCAAGTTCCTCGAACCCTACAATTGATTGACTTTAAGTCCTCTTGAAAATATCAATCTAACATTAACTGTTTCTAATGAAAACCCTGTATGAAGAGTTGTAGGTGTTTCACTCCACGTACAACAAGGTATCCTATGGTTGTCACTGCACTTTGAAGAAGTCTTACGTCTCTATGCCAGTTGTCTGTTTTTTGAAGTAGTAATCTTTTGCGCGGCTCGAGTTATAAGTCTTGACCTTTCGATCGAGGATGGCGATTTTCCAGATGTTCTGTAAATCTCTGATCATTCAACGTTTCAAACGCATAATTCTGACTAAAACACCAAGCACTGCTTGTTTGGTTACGCAAGACACACGACGCTTCTTAGGTGAACGGTTTGGAGGTTCATTTAATGCACGCAGGTGACATTTTTCAAAACACTTTTCTGCCAGCGCTACATGTGACTCTGGTGTTTGGCAGCGCATTTTGACAGGCTCGGTGACAACTTGAACGCGTTCGCACGTTCTGCCGACCCTCGTCGACTCATCACCCCTGCCGGCAGGCAAACACGTCGGCTCCTCTTGCCTAACACTTCAGCTTAGAAAACGGACGAGGAAATGGGCGGCTTAGTTCAGTAAAATGTTTAAATGGTATGGAAAAGAACTGAGCAAAGTGTGCGTAAATGCTGTCCGGTTGGAGAAAAATAAATACAGCGGATAAAAAGTGAACTGTTGGAATTCACGCTCCGAGAGAAGGAGTACCACTGTGGTGCACGTTGTTTAATGTGCCAAGGCCTGCACGAGTGTAAAGCTGCATTCTGAAGTGTACGGCCTTGCCTGTCCACGAGGCCTCTTTAGCCTAAAGTGCGTAAATCGAAAATTCAAATAATAATAATTATTATTATTATATCATCATTTCCAGATTGACATAAGCAACTTGCTAGTTCTCGAATTTGAGCGTTTTCAATTAAACACGCAAAGAATTCTGTGAACTTACAGCGGGTGTCTATTTCCTCGTCGATCGAATGTCCAGAATGGAGTAGCCAGGCAGACACGTTTGATTTCATCCCCGAACTTCTATGGGTCAAACATTTTAGCTGTTTTTAAGAGGTGATGTTAAAGGGCAATTGATTAATTCATCGTAGACTTAGCAGTTCCAATTGCAAGATGGTGTAGACAAAAAGCCTTGTTGGTTTGTCAGACGTGTGTTGCTGGATGGTTTTCGATGGAATTCGTGTATTAAAGTTGAAATTACCGCCATAAGTGCCCTTGACTCATCACCTGGCATCTGTTTTAGGCATGTGAGTGCACTCGCGCGTTGTCCAGTTGGTTTGATTTGTAGTCACTGCACTATGAAGGACACTTGGGGCCATCTCGTATAAAACACATTGGTCAATTTGGTAAACGGGTGCCAACCTTTTACCGGTTCTAAGGCTTCTACCTTAATTTTAACAAATTATAATTTGAAAATGAAATCGCGTCTTGTTGATAAACCATGCTTCAGGTAAGCTGTTTGCTAGTGTCAGTGTGTCAACCGTATTTTTCGTTGCAAAGCCCCTGTTGTTCAATGTAAAGCTCTTAGTTTGTGTGCTGTAAGAGTCCATATTGCTCATTTGCAGAGTTGATGGTGATCCCCAATAATGGTTGGCTTTCGTAATATTTGGACTGTTTTCTGAAGTTATTTTACACGCGCGTATCTGCGATATCGTCAGCACCCACCTTATAATGTCCCATGGTTAACTCACCTTTTTTTCTGCCTGAAAAACTATAGGGTAGTTTTTTTGCAGTCTCCACTAATTACTAAGTTGTTCTATTATTGATTGTTTTCAGCGCAGATAGGAAATCTCAGTATAGTGGAGACGTATCACGAGATCCCGCTGAGACAACCCGCTATAGGCCATATCCAGTTGATTATTCAATGGGGCCTCGGGACAAGGCAATGTGGAGTGAAGAGGTGAGAATCGCAACAGAGAGTTCTGTCTGCTGCTGCTGCTGCTTCTGCTATCAGCCTATGTATTAATTTAGTACCATGTGAGATCAAATCATGTGAAATCCTGAATTTTTCAAAGTGACGCATCAGTTTTAGGCTTTCCGGCGGCGGCTGTGCATTTGGTTAACGTGTATCCCACCTCGCGGACTTCAAAATTTTAATCACGCGACCACACTTTCAGACGAGCACGTACAATTGACGCACAAAGACGTCGTTCCTCTCACCTCTGGACCACCTGAGGTTGTTCTAGTGCCAAACCCTGAACTGATATGCTGCGCGGTGACACATCATTGTAGTTTAGTCATTTGCACCGATTCCTGCACAGACATGAAAGACTGCAACTCCTCTTATTTCGGCTCTTGACCCCCATTTAATAGGCGGTGCTTCTGCGCGCACAAAACTGTGCCTGCGGACTCTCAGTGGAAATCAGATTAACGCTGACTCACCATGTCCATGCAGACAGACCGCCGACTCTGCTATTCAGCTCCTTGCTTGGCTTAATCTAATCAATTCCGCGTGCAGTTTCAGTTCGGCAGTCTGGTCGCGAATAAATGCCTTTGTTGCCTGAGCATTGGGGATCACAAGGGTTTCCTTCCTGTTTGTGGCGCTTTTTTCTGCGGTTAGCAAGCCACAGGAGTCCACCAACGTCATCATCAACTGCTAGATTTTTGCGGGGCATAAAAGCCACGGCCTTGTGTGGCTGCGTCCCATCCCGTTCGAGCTTGTGTACCGGTTGTCGTGAGCACAATAGGCCATATCACGTCTTCTTATATCGCGCAGCTGAAAACACATGCCGAGTCCTGCATTCAGTGGATAGCTCATGGCAGAAACGCCTGCTTCATCAACTAAACCCTGAGAAAGGCAATTGTAGTCTCTTGAGTTGCACCAAGGTGGACAGGAATCTTAGCAATTTAACTACAGTCGTTTACTGACACGAGCGACCAAAGCTAATTAGCTTTAATATGGCATTCGTTTAACTCAACTCGTGTGAATGATAATAATATAAATTTTTTGCACGTTACGTGGGAGTGGGATGGTAGAGTTTCTTAAAGGTCGACATCAACCCCAAGAATAAACTTTTACTTAAATGCTGAAGTAGGTTTTATTTAAACTATCGAATTGCTAGGATTCCAAAAGGAGGGACCCATTGTCTTTCGAAGGTTTGGAAGACGGGAAATGAATGCAGGACTAAATTCACACATTTTAAGGCCGTGGGTGGTATTCCATTTTGGGAAAGAATGTGACATTTACAAGGGTGAAACACCGTCCAGTGTACTACATCAAAGCGTTTTAAGGGCAAAGCAGCGTGCTTGGCTACTGCTTCAAGGGTTCTGCAGGTTTCACGAGATCTGGTCCAAATAGTCTCCTGTTACCTGCCTGTTTCTGATGGCGCAATCGATAATCGAACTTCTGGAGTCTGTATACCAATTGTTACTGGTTTTTGCATTGGCTAACAGTAGTTACGATAGAAGAGTAATCAACTAACCATTTTTATGAGCATTCAACGACAGCAATTAAGTACCCTCTTGGGATGCTTAAAATAACAAGTTGCAATGGCGTTGCTTCATATGACAATTACCTGCATGTTTTTTTAGGTTTCAAATTAAATGGTGGAATTGTTAATTCAATAAATTGTGTCATTTTAACTTCTTTTAGAGTTCAGCATTCCGCACCACACCAGACCTCACTAACGCAGTGACACTTGTTCGCTCTGCATCCACGTACACACCTGCTCGGTACCAAACTTCCTCCGCCTCCATGGACGACAGGCACAGGACGCACTTGGTCTTTCGAAGTCCAATGGCCACCTTCAATGGAGGCAGTCGAGTTAATCGTTCCAACACATCTGAGTGCGTCCTTTTTTTCATTACACCTGGGCACCACAAATGTTGTTAACATGGGCAAAATGTTAAATCTCGAACGACCCTGTCAATTTTCCCCATTTTGTGAAAGCGTCGTGGCTGCTAGATGTGCACTTGCACAGCCGTCAAAGTTTATAGCGCCTTTCATTCAATTGTGTTTGTTTTCGAATTTCTACTTCAATAAGGTAAATCAGAAAGGCCAAAAATAAGTTCCACTTACTTTACTCGATGGTTCTTTGACCAAGAATACTTAATAACTTTGGCGGCATTGTCGAAAATCTTTATTGGACGATAATCTTCAAGTTAGCTTCGGAATTTTTTAAAAAATTCTCTAAAACGGTCAAAATACATGCTGGAAAATTTAAACGCCCCAAAACGTAGCTTACATGAGAGGACTTCTGTCAAAAATTCGCGACAACTACTAGGACCCTTTCAGTAACATAATGAATTTACAAACAGTTGATTCGACTCTGCTAAAAATGAAATGATTGAAACGAATTGTGCACAAATTCTATCTAATGGCACTATATACATGCGAGCAATCAAGTCAGTTGGCTATGCTAAAGCGATTTCATTTTCTGGTAAACGGAATTTTTCCCTCGCAGTCAAATACGCTGCCCAGGCAATGCCATTCAGCCAGCGCACGAACCCTCCAAGCACGTCGTGGCGGCGGTGACCCGCCTGCCTAACCTGGGACAGGCGACACCTTCGCGCCCGCACGACCCCGACGTGACCCACCGCCGTTCTCAGAGCGCCGACCAAACCCCAGAGGGTAACGCTTCTATTCACGCTCACGTTTTAATGCCTTTTTATACGTTAAACGCTACGGGCGGCCAAGTTTGAAGAAGCACGAAAATGCGGGGATTGTGATTAACGGATAGGCTGTTTTGTTTCGCCCCGGGCTTTGACGTCTACCGAGAGGCCTGTAGGTGAGCATTTCCAACAGGTGAAACAGATCTAATGCTTTTGGGGCCTAGGTGAATTCGATTTTGCCATGGCGTCTCGCCTATATTGGAAGTGAGTGTTGAATTTTGCGGAGTGCGTTCTTTTGGAATAATGCTTGGTGATCCTGACAACGGCTGCGGAGCTTATTCACTACACCAGACTTAATTTTTCCTAGGCATATACGTTTTCGACTTTTATGAGTCTTGTGAGATGCCGTGGTCTCGGCTACAACCATCAGCTCCCCTAACTGTCGCCCTTTTTCTATAACTTCTCGAGGGGTTTCATGCAAGCCAATTTTCCCAATCCTAAAAGGGCTGTCGTTATGTTGCAAAACAGCCCCATTTTGTTAAGTTCAATGCACAACCCTGTGGTGTGGAGACAAAGAAGGCCTGTCTGCGTCCCGGTGGCCTGGACGTGTGGGCGGTGGTTGTGCTCCTCGAGGTTCTTCTCAACCTAGTTTGTTTTTTGGGCGACATGTACTAAATTACACTCGGGCATGCCCTTGACGTGAAGTCTGTTCATGGCACGACAACTATTGATGAAGTAGTTTTGGAGTTGCGTTTTTGATCTTTTTAGCAAAATTTTATTTAGATTTCATCATTTCATAAATGAGCTCGAAGTCATCTTAACTCGGAGTTATACCTCAACAGTTGTATCAAGGAAAATAGCAAAAATTGGAAAAAATAAATAAATTTGTGAAAAAATGTAAGTGTAATCCTTCGATTTCGGGCCTAAATTTATGCCACTCAGATGGGGAACGAGGAATCCAAGACTTTGCCTTGGTTGTAGTTTGGCCACCTTCAGCTTTCCCAGTTTCCCCGATGGTTGTGTGTAATTTGCTTGATCATGCGATTTGATCGGTTGCTTCTTAGGAGCCCCACTGAGGCTCAAAACATCCACATTCCGTTTAGTGACGCGCATTGTGCCGCGTTGTCCCACTATGCTTTTCTGCAACAAGCACAAGGCGTGGAATGAAGACTTGGTGCGCATAGAGTAAAATGAATTATAACAAATACAAACGTAAGTCTTAAGTGATCTTCAATTGCATGGAATGCGCTTGCTTACGGGAAAAATACTTAACAAGGTTTTCCCTCATTTCGAGTACACATCAGCTAGTTTCGGCCGCACGCACTGCAAGTGGTGTCATGGACTGCTAAGCTGTCATGCGATACAACAACAGTTTAACCTTTCTAACCTGACACCACTTTGTTGTAATGTAGCGGAGTCATCCCACAGTGGCACCTCATACAAAAGACCGAATTCATGCCTAATTCCGAAATCACTTTTGTTTACATGACATCGGGGTGATCAGAATTTCATATAGTCGCTAAAAATACCATACTTCTTTTTGAATTTGATGAACGCAAATGTTGCATGGGTTGCTTCCCCTGAGGCATGCCAACATTGTGATTTTACCTGGTCACATTAACAACCTTTTGGTAACTGTTAATACGATTTTCTGACCCTCAATGATATCTATGTCATATTAGTCAAAATGTGCACTTTAGACGCCGTGGTATTACGGAGTGGATTAAATCCTGCAGTAGGACCACTTGTATCAGAATACGTTAGGGCACTTTAGAAAAGACAGAAGATGACAAAATGTGGATTTTGGCAAAATGTTAGTTTTAAAATAAGATTGTAAATCTACTTTAATTAGAACCAGGAAAACTTAAGAGCAATATGAGTAGATTTGATTCCTAAATATTGTAAGTTTTGTTCAGAAACTCTAATGGTGGCTTTTGGCGTCATTTATAATGCAACGTAATCGCGGAAGTTTTGTACACGCGGTATTTTTACAACAGCTGTAGCAAATGCGGTTCATCCGCGTAGTTGGTCACAACTTTGTACGTCACTTGCACTTTCCGAATGTGGTTTTAATATGAACAAAAGGAACTCTGTCAAATGACATTTTTAAAAGCCATTATTCGTCGCCATTTTTGAAGCAGACTGGACAACATGTACGCTCGAACCACATATTCGTGTTACGCTGTTTTTCTTGCGGTAAAAAACTCGTTGCTACTATAATCAGTGCTTGGCGACCAAATAACAACTTCTAAATGCCAAATCTAGGCTGGTGTTATTAATTTATCACTCATCGTTTAATGAGCCACATCGTCTTCTGGGGGATACTCAGTACTTCAACAAAAATAGATTTTGAACGTTTGTGATTACTTTCAGTGGAAATGGGGTCAGCCTTTCACGAACTTGGGACAAAAATGCCTGACATTGAAAGCTAAAACAACTTGTTATAGTGGAGGTAAAATAATCAGACTTGCGAATGAAACTCATTGTGATCTGACAAAGTTCGAGATTATCTCGACATTAAGCACAAAGATCATTGCGTTTTGAGGACACCCATGCAAGTATGGATGTCTCTGAAGGGGGCCGATGTTCTGGTGAATAGTATTTGCTAATAAACATTGGATAAAGCTTTTTCCTCATGGAAATCTACCTTCCCTAATCTCCTTATCATTGGTGAGCCGACGCCGAGTTTGTCAAAAAGGCCGTTAGTAAAGGAGGTTGGGGGAGGGAAGGGAACAGGTAGTCTGCCCCCAAAACAGAACCATGACGCTTATCTGGTGGGATCGGAAAATTGTATCGGGGACTGGGGGTTTGGGACCAAACCACACTGCCAATTTCCCTTAGTTCTGTTTCACAGCCTAACTGATGATTGCATTCAATAGGCAACAGAACATGCTGCCTTGGAGTCTAGACAAGAATTTTTGTAATTTTACTTTTGTGTACCAGGTGGTCCCAAACAGGCGACCTCCGTCTGCGTAATTTGTCAAGACATTTGTCAAGTCATCCTACCGGTGTACACGTGGTAGTGCATGGCCCCGGCGCGCGGCCTGGATCCACACCTGGGCTGCTGCGTCGTATTTGGCCGCTTACTCGGCACAGACACACGGGAAGGTGAAGACAGGAATGGCAGGTACTACCGCTTACCGGATGTCTTAATATGACTGTGTCGATGTGTTTTCAAAGGCTGTGCATGACAAACGTGGATATTAATCGAAATAGTCTGGGTGAACTTGTAGAAGTACAAATGGCTGAATGTCCAGATGAATGAAACGGGTAGTGGGGGCGGCGCATTCACGGGGCGGCCCCGCGCGACTGAAGGGCACAATGTGAAAATTGGGGGGCGGGGAGGTGTGTTGGAGTATTCGACGGCCGGGCTGGTGGTCGTGAGTCAACACTGCAGTGGGAATTGGGGCTTTCTCTCTCAAGTGACTTGGGTGGGTTTTAACCGGCAGATACCCATAACTCGAAAGCGAGGGATTCTTCGATTCGCCAGCGTGGCGGCTGAACATAGGTCATGCTAATTCCTGCTTAAATTTGCATCTTAATTTATTAATGCATTATTTCGTGGTTCGCCAAAGAGTCTGTGCGGTATTTTGTAGCCTAAAAGAGAAGTTGAACGAACGGTGATGATTAAAATCACTTTTATTACTGTGCGTCTCTAACTGTGGACTTGCATCGTTATCTAGAGGTTTAAATTCGAAACCTCCGCGTTTCACTAGATTTGCAAAGTATACGATAAATATCAGTTATTGTTGTGTCATAGATTCCAGCTTATCTCATTGCATGAATGTTGGGAGGAAAGAGTCTGCTGATTGTCACCTTTTCTTACTAATCCTGCAAAAGGCTTCAATCAGTCTGGTCAGTGGTTCGGCAATTGGCTTCCCGTTAACCAGACTGCCTTATTGTGGTAAGAGAACTATTACTCGGAATGATCCTTTGTACATGGGCTTTGGCGAGTTTACTCAGAAACACCAACTCCAATTGTTGCCTTTTTTCAGGTTCTTCCACTAAAGTTCCACGTTTTGCACATCCTTAATTATTTCTACAAATTTTGGCTAACAGTCGTGCCTGTTTTGTCGTAAGGCTACTTAAGTTACCTGAGCCAGCGCTTGGCTCTTTGATGCCTGACATTCTGATCTCACCTGCATGTTGTTTAAGAACAATTATTTACCCTTCATTTGTGTTTTTTTCCCGTGATCTTTAGGTACCGTCGATGCTGGTGGACAGCCAAGTGTTGCCGAGCGCGTGAAACTCTTCCAGACTGTCATTGAAAGTCATTGTAAATAGGATCTTGACACTTTGAATTTGACTATTCACTTCACTTCCATTGTGAATATTTCTCCTGATGCTTCCATTATTTATCGCTCATTCAAACTGTGATTTTATTCACTTGATGTTATGTCGACAAGTTCTTAGTTTTGATTGCCTGACCTTAATAGGTCTTAATAAAGCACATACTATCTACTTTGCCATGACACAACGCTGTGGTACAGGACTGACGTCAAAGACCCATCGCAGGAAAACACTGACAACGAACTCGACTCCACCTAAAAGTGCTGCCTTCGTAACACCAAATACCGTTTTTTGCGTGTGTGGGTGTGGTGTGTAACCAACTGTCTGGGAGTTTTCATGACATTTATGTCTTTGATTTGGCTTCACTTTCACGTCGCTTTACTAAGGAGTTGGCAGCTGTTAGCACAGGGAACTATTATTCTTCTTTTCCGTCTATTATGGTCTTCTGGAAATGATGGATTTCAATCTAGATTCCAGGTACTTTCTCTTAAACAAATTTCTACTCTTATGAAAAGCAAATTTCACGCCTTGATGACTGATTTACAGCAGCCTCGACCTGTTTCCAAAGCTGAAACATCCACGTTGGTGTTTTGTTATTTTTAAACAGCATCTGAAGGAACCAGCACGGCTCCTGACATTTGGGGCTTTTGCAACCCAGGTAGAATCTCAGGAAACATGGGCTGCATTCATTAAAGCCACAACTTTGTGGTATGATCTGAACTAACCTAATAAGCCATGACTCGGTTGCTCAATATCACGAGAAACACGCTTTAGAAATGCGAGTTCTTTCTACATGCGGCGTTACAAATACTTTTCGAAGATAACTACCTTGCCTAACTGTTTATTCAGTTAAAATGAACATGGGAAAATCAAAATATAATTGTTTAATTCAAGGTTAATTATCGCAAACTTCCGGGACCATGTGCTAAACCTAGCCAAGTCCAGAATGAGCCTGTTAGGGTCCCTTTGTGTTGTCAGCATCCAGAATGGGCCCGGCGACCGGGTGTTCGTCTCTCCCAACTGCGTCTGTGTGCAGGCGCCAGGTGTGCTCATTCATCAAAGGTCATTGTAAGGTTGCCTCGGGTAAGGGGAAATGGCTGCTGCATGAATTACATGGACGTTTGCATACGTATTCGAGTGAAACTTTTTAGGTGGTTTTAACATTATGCAGATCTGTTGACCTCTACTTCACTTAGACACTGAACTGGTGTGTGCATAGTGCACACATGTCTTTTCCATTAATTTTTTTCGAAAAAATTGCTCTTACCGATGAATATGAGACTCGAGAGTGCACCATGAACCAGTGTTTGTGCCTGCAGGGAGCGTCTGTGTTGTCAAATGTGATGACCTAGATAAGGGAGGTATTACACAATACTTCGTTATCCTCATGGGATCCTGGTCACGTGATTCTCAGTGTGATTGGACCACGCAGTACGCCAATGTGAGGTAGTCCGGCATGAAGGAAAATGAATAGGCTGATAACGACACTAAATGCTTAAGTGTTGAAGGCATTTCTTTATTTATGATAAGACATTGTTTACACCACCTGTCGTCTTGACTCAAACGGAAGCATTTAAGTTAAACCTATGGACTAAGTTTCCCAAGTGCACTTCGTAATTTGTGCATTCAGTTAACATTTTGAAGTTAACATGTTTTATGACGTTTTAAGTAATAATTCCGTGTTATTTTTACATTTCAACTGGATTTTCATGGCTGTTATTAAGTGGTTACCACCGATGAACAATGACTGCAGTTTGAGAACTCGCAGGAAAAGTGTTCATTGTAGAAACACACATTAGGAGCCAAAATGTGTAAAGCGCTTGTTTGGTAACCAAGTTTGACTTGTATATGATTGTACAGGTCGAACCTGCATTATTAGTTGCTATTAGTTGTTTCAAAGATCGAATATTCTCACACCCTTTACAGTTACAGATAAGTGGTTTCAGCTGAGTGGACTTCGAAGGAATTAAAAGAAATTTGACATTCAATTCAGTAAGAAGACGACGCCACCAGATGGACATAGCCGTTTGCTTTGCTGCTCGAGTGCATTAGTTAGTGCTTGTGGGTGCATTTTATGTCCAGTGAACTCAATAAAATGAAAGGGTGAAACACAGGTACGAATCTGTGTTGTAGCTGTTAGGATAAACATCCTCGTGACTAGATTGGTGAAAATTGTCTCAACGATCATGTAAAAAATGTTCAAGACTCGTGTAGATCATCCCATTTTGTACTCGAAAACTGGCACCATGATCTGTGAAATTGAGTTCACTAATTTGACAAATTTAGTGTTTAATAACAAGTTCTCTAGCAGCCGAACTACTGATGCTTAGTGATTTAGCATTAGAAATGCTTTAGTCGTCAAATTATGCATTTGCTCCGGTTTAGTTACAACCCTCAACGTAGGTAATTGAAACCTGACAAGCCCGGGAGCTCCACGTCGTTCAGATCACCAGCACTCGCACAAAAGATGCCTCCAAAGAATTTTTTTGAATGGGCACCAGAATTCATGAGCGAACTACTTCCAAGTGCGATGATTGCATCTTCACTTATTGTCTAATGTGACGACACCCATTTGCTGATCCTTTACTCGCATGACTGTTGTTCACACACTTCATTTGTTTCTGCAAAACAAACAAGTCTTGCTGCTTAATAAACAACAGGGTCTTTTCTTCATCATACTCTTTGCTGACAGGTTCTGTGCGTTTACTTTCAAACTATTTCATTTCAATATTTTTTTCTATCTTTTGCATTAGCTTTTGCAATATTTGGTTGACTAGCAATCATTTACACACCATTTCCTTAGGTGAGTACTGATTAATGATTTATGTACCTCATTAAATTCGTTTTCCGTCAGTTCGCCTTGAGTAAATTTGCATTTACCGTCTGTATTTGGCTATGTTTGGTATGAGAAAATTATGTAAAGTATGAACAATTAACATTATCTCTTTGCTGTCTCATGTCTTACGATATATCATTTATAAACCAGCCAAATATTTTGTTAGCAATTATATGCTGACATTTAAATCTACATCAGATCTCAACATTTTAAAGTGTTAGAGAAACAAGAAAGAAAGTCAGAGTTTTCTTAAAAATCCAGGCAACATTTAGTTTGAATTGAAGTTAACTAAAATGAACCAAATGTATGAACTCCTATGTGGGTCTTCATGTCGCAGCGTCAACCGTGGACATTCGTCCCCTTGTAGTACTGTATTAGCCCCGAAAGTCTATCTAAGGGTAAAATTATGGCTTTACAGGAATACCACTTCCTTCTAATTATTCTCTTCTTTGTGGTTAGGATGACAAATATTAAACGGAGAGCGTTCTAATTTGCTTAGTTCTTAGGATGCATCCCACTACCGAAAGCAAATTGCTGTCAAGCACATTTAGGCGCTTTCAACTAAGACAAATTGTCGGAGTAAAATAGTGCGGCTATTTTTGATATGACGCATTTTTGACTTAAATTGAGCAAATATAAATCTTTTTCCTTACGGATTTAAATATTAACTTAGACCATAATGCTTCAACGAGTGTAACAATGTGCAAAATTTGCCTTGGTCCGATATTCACTTATTAAATTAAAAACCCAAGTGCCTAGCCTTCCTAGCTCTCAAACTTTAACCCTCAACTATAAATTTCAATGAATGAGAAAAGTTCAGTCATTCGTTTAACGGAAGCGCTGCAGTGAAATCATGTTTTATCGATTTATTTAATGGGTGATGAGTCACTATTCTTGAATGTGATCAAACTTAAGTGTTATAGGCCTTTAATAGACGAACAATGCGCCTTAGTAACGTGCTCTGCTAAAGAAATAAAGAAAATGGTATTTCAAATCATCAGGTGGGATATTGAGGTTCAAAGAGAAAGCTCACATGTCATAACAGAAATTTAAAAAATGCATTGCATTTTACCCATAGAAGGCAGAATATAATATAATTTTGGTAGGTTATTTATTGGTATTCTGAAGCAATTTCGACTTTAATGAGAACCGAGGTGGTAGATAGGAGGCGCATAACCTTGAATTCAGTTCGCATAGTGATACAATCGTTAGAAAACAGGAAATGTAACTTTTGTCACATGCCAAACTAAAAGGCTATTCGAACCACTTGATACATACAATGTCTGAAAGTAAGTAATGATTTGGTTACATACTTTGGATGTAAGGAGATAAAGATTAACCGTTTTCATGAATCTCCTAATCATAGGATTACTTCAATCGGTGTTCTACTTTTTTCACTTTCTCTGCGTGTAAGATAGTGTAGTTATTTCCATATAATTTCAGACACTGCCTTAAATGAATGTGAGGTTTATTTTATGCATATGAGAGCATACTCTGGGCTAATAAGGTTTAGTATTTATAAAGCTCTTTTTAATTTTACATGAATTTCTACGTCTGTATATGAGTTTGATTGCGAATTGCTAAAGTATGTTTATTTGAATAAAACATTGAGCTACAAAGTTCAAGACGATATATATACAAAAAATCAACAAGCAATGCAAAAAATATAAAAAATGTCAGGATTTGCTTGCTTTAACTGACCATGCCTTATCTCAATTTAAGGCTGCATTATCAACCATGATTGAAAAAAACATTATGTAATGTGAGTAAATTAATCATATAATGAACAATTTACATTGTACGTCAACAGATATATTTGGATTTATGTTACAGGATCGGTTTGCATATGTTATTTTATTTTTAGTGGCCCTTTTTGGATCTCAACAAATTTGTGCTATCGTATGCATGACTAAAAGTACTTTGACAATTATAGTTTGGGCAAACTGGTTATGTACAAATGATTAAATGGCCAGGTGACTCTTACGGATAGCCGATGGAATTTGCACATGGATGTTTTGAGAAACGGTTCTGCATGAATAACGGCTCGACTATTCAAAGGGGTGGTGTCAAAGAATGCAGCGACGAGGTTTTGGACTTCAATCATCTCAAATCACGACAGACCATATTAACAATTTCAATCAATCAACAACGTTAACAAATGAATGCATTAGGCAAAAATATGAATTTGAAAACAGAGAATGATAGTAATATCTTATCTTATATTTAAATTTAATATATCTTCAATTTGACGTAATGTAGAATAAACATTTTATATTTTCCAAAATATAAATTAAATCCTAATAAGTAGCTTAGAAAGAAATAAACGTATATTACTAATAAGGTCTAGATTTAGGTAGATACCATTTCAGATGAGAATTTCATAACCACATTGATTGAAACCTTGAATATAGCTACAGATAATTTTTGCACAACTGGAGGATGCATGTTTCATATGATATTTATGTTTATTATCGCCTACATTTATCAAGATAAGGCCCAAAAGCACGGTTTATGTTAGCCATTCCATTGACATACCGTCATTTTTCAAGAAATATATGTTGGTCATTTTAAGTATTTTATAACATACATTGTTTAGCAGGGGATGTAGGTCGAGAAAAAACACTAGCATTATCTGGCGCTTCTCGTACAACATGGCTTGACTACGTGTAAGGGCGCGACTTTTGTAATGCGCGGACCTTAATAGGGAGATGACTACTAGCCCGTCCCTCTTAGATAGCCACACCAACATGGTTAGCTAACAAACACACGATAAAAGAACAACTGAAAGAACCAAATGAATTCATGCTGCTGCATACAAATTCAGAGGGCCAGAGCTTAGGGAAAATTAGAGCGGGGAAAGGGATGGCCGTAAGGGGGGTCTGCGATACCCTAGGCCTCACGGGCGTGCCTTGAGGAAAGCGAGGGTGTGGGAAGGGAAATGAGACCAAAGAACAGGAATGACAAGCGTGTGTGGGACGAATGGCGCTCAGTACACTTTAAATATTCTTTTGACTAGCTGCATGCGATTGTTCATTCAATTCAATTAGACAATATTCTTTCTCTAATTGAATAAGTCTTGGATAAGATATAAAAGTCTCATTAGGCTATCCTTTTATTTTAAAAATATTTTTTTGAAATGAGTAAATTGAATAAGTTGTTATTGATATTTATATCATGTTTTGTTTTAATATTTCATATTTAGGCCTTGCACTTGTGCGCAGCTTTGAAAAAGGTGCCTCTAGATGATGGTTTGCTTCTCATAAAAAGAGTCGGCCGTTTTAAGCTCAAATATCACCGTCATTGCCATGGCACTTCACGGTAACGATCCCTCTCAGTTTACACGCGCCGATGGTTGTACACCCGACAACCCTATGCTAAAGGATACAAATTCTCTATTTCATAATGTTGACCTTTCTTCTCATATGCCAACCTATCCTGTGAATTCTTACAGTCACAACGCGCAGTTACTTCTAAAAAATCTCTCTCATTGTGCTGGCCGGCCTGATTTCTGTCTACCTTCAAGCTACCACGTGTTAGGTCACGATAATCATTCTGAGGACATTCAGCTTGGTGCCATTGAGCAGTCACTTGACTTCGGACACCGCTCAGGTACTTATAATCCTGGTCACCGTTCCTATTTCTCAGATGTATCTACCCAAGATCTATATTCCGAACGCAGCCAGAGTTCTACTGGACATGTCGTAAGAACGCGACGCCGAAAAGCTGGTGGTATGGAGGAGGCACGAGTTTGTGTTGTATGTGGCGAGCCGGCTTCCGGATACAATTTCGATCGCCTGACCTGTGAAAGCTGCAAGGCTTTTTTTAGGAGAAACGCTTTAAAACCCAAGGAGAAGGTGGGTTTATCATAACACAATTTCTGATATCATTATTTCGATCACTTTTTAATTAATGGTCAGATACACATCTTCCTGGAATCATGTGAAAAATACTTTCTGGTTGTGCATGTCAGCTTTTTTTTCTATGTCTGATACTCTGATTCAACTGATTTACAGTTGTATATCTTTGTTCGGAAGCTTTTTTGTCCTGTCTACAAATCTAAGGTAAACGGGTTTTTTATTTGATTTATTTGCTAAACGCTCCGTTGATTGACCAGTAATCCGAATCTTCACACCGAACGCACAAAATAGTGTCCGTCTCTTCAGCCTTGAAAACATCTCAAGCATCAACATTTACTTTGTAGTCCCGGTGTCTCTGCCCTCGGCTTTTAGCTTTAATAATTCCTCCATTTCCACTGATTAACCGACTGCACTTCCATTGCAGTTTGCTAAATTCAACTCATTGTTGATTTCAATAGTTTAGTTTTTACCATTTACTTGAACACGCCCCGTGCTGAATCATTTACCCAAGCCATTTACTTACATCTACGTTTGTGCTTCCCCGCTTTTCGGGATCACCATGTGCGCTCTGTTGACACGTATTTTTCGGGGGTTTTTCATTTTGTGGTCTAAATAATTTTGGTAAACTTTAATCTGAAAATTATGACAATCAACTTGAGTGCATCTTCCATTTGACTTTAATGTGATCTCTCGGTCTTTGGTGGACCTGTTTCCGATGACACACCCATCCATCAGAATTATATAAACTCTGCAAGGCCTGACTCATTGGTGATTTTTTCTGCTTTTCTTTTTTACCTGAACTACTTGAGACCAGTAATGCCAGCACACAAAAGTTACATCACTAGGATTCTATCCCATGACTGTGTGAAAGTGGGTGTTTTATTTGATACGAATGCGGTAACTGAACGGGCATGTCGATGTAGATTCCCTGATTTTATTTTGGGTGACTTGAATTTGTGCTAGTGCTTCATATACCATTAAAACTGACTATACTATTCATGAAATTTGACTGCCAAGCATGTATTTTGGCCTATCCAAAGCAATATTTTTCTGAGGACTTAACGTTTGTTTGACACATTAAATTAAGAATCTAGCAGAAAATTTTTATGTCACATCTTCCTCCCGTTGTTGCGAACGAATCGTTGATTTTTTAAAGCGGTCAATGTGGCAAATACACTAAAGGAGCCTGTGTTGCATTCTTGGTGCGACCGTGCAGGAATTTTGATTGACGGCTCTATCAAACCTCATTAAACGTTGTACGCTGACCCGTATTTAAGTTGCCTGCAATCTCTGAATACAGAACTCCTTGGTAAACATCGCTAGAGTACGGGAAGGGCCTAACCCCTATTTCAGAGCCTGACTACAATTTCTATAAGCTGCACTTCATGTGCTGAAGGGCCTTGGTCAGTTGGTGTTTGAATAGCACTGGATAGCTCTGTGGTGATAGGCAGGTCTTCCTCTCACTCAAGTTTGGCAAGTTATTGAATCGATGGCAAAATCCTTACTAATTTAAGAAATCGTGTCATCTAATTAAGGTCAACTAGACTTACTAGATGCTCTGACATTCCCCTCAAACAAACGTCGAAATATTTACTCTCTTCTACTTTAATCGGTGTTTTTCTTATTAAGAGGCTTGATTACCTTGACTCTTTGAATGTGGTTCATCAAATGTAGGAGAGTTCATGAACGCCTTGCACACAGTTCTAACAACTATGTTTTCCTGCACATTAGATTAAGGCTTGTGGAAGAAACGGTGACTGCAACATTGAAGGGAGCCAAAGAAAACACTGCCCTTCGTGTCGCCTCGAAAAGTGTCTAGCTGTTGGAATGAAGAAAGAACTGATCCTACGTAAGTCTGCTCCCTGCTTTCTACTCTCTTTCAATATCGCTGCAAAGGTACTTCAAGTTCTTGACCTCCCTTTGTTTCCCCAACTTTCTTGTCTATGTAGATATGCTTCACAGAGTTTGTAAGTTAATTTGTGGTTTCACTGAAGCAGGTTCGAATTATTGTTTCCTCTGTACTTTGTGTATACTTCGTTCTGGGTTATTTTCTGTTTTGTTTCAACTCAATACCTAGCGGAAGTACTGTTTGATTTCCCGTAAGTTTGATCGAGCTATTATGATTGGCGGTAGTTTAGTTAGGCGCAGATTGTTGTGCGAATGCATAAGGCCTATGCCTACTCGTGGTGGTTTTGATGTCCACTGTACGTAGTTACTGCAGACGTCAGTTTGACTTTCTTCCTCGGTGGTGCAGTTTTCCTTTAAGTTCGAGTAATTTTCGTCGTTTATGCATTGAATTTGTCGAGGAATTTCGCGGAATTAGTCCTTTTTTTATCAGCTAAGGAGTAGTAAGTTATTTGCATGACCTCCAACACAGTGGTGTTAATAGTTGGGTGTTCACTTGACTTAAGTGTCTCCAATTCACAGTTTCGAGTTAATCTGCGCGGAGATGGTCTTTTTGTCATTCTTTCGTTAGTGCTGATTCGATTCTGATTATGTTGTTCTGAGCATTTCCTAGACAGCAAACGTCATAATAACTTCCCAAATATTTTGATTGGTTGCCTGTCAATGCCGGCCGGTTTATTCTTGGTCAAGCTAACATTCGCCATATTCAACTGCATCAAAAGTTGCTGTTGGTTGAAATAATTTCCTCTTTTTTCCCGTAATGGAATTCTACATTATTTCTCTTGGCCACATTCCCCGATTTTTCGACAATTTTTCATCCACCAATAAGTACTTCTTAAATACCACAGTCTGTTTTGCTACCCATTGAAATGTTAGCAGGAGTATCATTTTCCTTTCTCCACTGTCATCATGGGACCGATAGTGCTTGCTTGTGTGACTACGCCTTCGTGAAGCCTTTTTAAGTAGTGACGAGTATGTGGAAAAGACTAGCAAACATAAATAGCCCTACGAGTAGACTCATTGTTTAGAAGTCGAGTTGCTCTATGCCTACCTCCCCCTGCTCTCACGTGTTCAAGTCCCTGATGATAAAAGGCCGGGTTCTGTACAGTTACGAGTTTCATTCTCGTAAGTTGGGGATCTTTCAATCAATTTTTCCAATCACATCGGGACCCCATGTGCATCGACGACTGCCGATGGCTTTTGGCGGCAGTTAAGGCTCACTCTTGTATTTGCCTTCATGTTTTTGCTAGTACGAACCGTGTAAGGATTCACTTCGCCTGAACATGGCGTAGCTGAGGTATTCGTGGGCTCAATCGGTTCCCGTGCATTCAACATCGTCTTTTGATACTTCTTCGCGCCATCCCGCTGCCGTGATGTCGCACTTAAGAGATATTATCGTGAATTTTCCCAGCAGATAGCATTTTCAGCTACAGTTCACAAGGCTTGGTTTGTTTATTGAGTTGTGAGTTATCACTCTGAAGTAGTTTCCCTGTCGATTTGGCCCTCCCTTATAATCTCGCCTTCATTCAATTGATCAACGTCGTACATTCGCTTCATTTTAATACAGCGTAGTTTGTAGGTAAAAGTTAGTTCTAGCTCGTGCCCATTGTCTGATCTGCAACCTCTCCGTGTCCTAGATGCTATCTGTCCGCACTTATCTTCTTCCTGCAGCTCGCCTTTGAATGGAGCAAACCGCCACTTTCTCTCCTCCTCTTCCTCCTCTTTCATTATCAATCGGAAGTATTACCGGCATCTAGAAAATGTTAATGACTTAATTTTGATTTTCGCAATCTAGAATGCCGTAGTCCTTATTGTTCTGTACTGGTGACATTGCTAAAGCGGACCCAACACGTAAAACTTGTTGACTACCCAACTGGTTTTAGGCATCATAAATTGGGACGATTCATCGACCACACTGCCACACTTCATCGGAACTTCGTGCTGTCATTTCCCGGGAGTTGGGTTTTCCTCACTCCCAGTGATTTAATGGGCATAAAGCCAGTGTGTGTGTGTGTGTTTTTCTGGCATCGCTACTGAACTTGGCAAATTTACTTCTTCCACGTCACTCCAGTCATTCTCTATTAAAATGGCCAAAAAGGGCAGAATTTTACTTACAGGACTATTTTTTCGCCTCTTTATTTCCTTTTCATACCTGGGCAGTTCTCGACTCGCTAAAAAAACGACTCCTGTGGGTTATAGTGCAATCGCGGCCGACTTCATTGCCCCGCCTCAGAAGTGTGCTCGTGAGGAAGCTGCTCGAAAATCAGTCGGACAGTGCTCGATCCGTATTTTCTAACCCACCTCGGCTAATATGCAATTCTACTTTGGTTATCTGACGGTGTTTCTTGGAAGTAATCTCCCGATTATGTGTGTAGACCCATAAAGTGCTATTAGTGACACGACTTGGAGAACTTGTGAAATCCCATTAACGGTTCATATATAACGGGATTTGGGGCCCATCCTTGTGATGAATCTAACTCTGCTTGCTAACTAATTCGTGGCTGTTTGTGAAATACATCCCCACATTGACTAAGCTAGCCTCATTACTCAAATGCACCAGTACAATTCATCGGTGAATGCCTATTAACGAAAGCAATGTCATCGAGTTTACCAGCATTAGCTGCCTCCTGTCATCAATACGCGCACGCAGAATTATTGGGAGTTGAGCAACCCGATTCCAAGGCAGTTGGAGATACTTGTAAATTGTCGAATGCTACTTGAGTTCTATGTTTGCATCATTTAGTTATTTGCTGTTCGCGTGATTGGGGATGGTTTCCACACCTCTTTTTTCTCTTGTTGCTCTGATATGCGTTTGACAGGGCCGGAAGCTGCTCGTCTACATAAGACTCAAGCTTTTGGTGCACAATTTGCCGGGATTTAAAGGATGTGCAATTACCTGGCGGGGTAGCTCTCGCGGTGACGGGCTACACCTACTACACACTGCTGTGCAAAGCACTTGGCTTACGCCGCTGCTGCAATGCAAGCAGGTCGTGCATTCTCTCCAGCTCGGTTGCCTTAGAAATTGTTTGACGTGCAACTTTTCTGCGCCTAGACGTGTGAAGTTTCTTGTCTGCGAATGTTCAGACTGTGTGTGGTTCACGCATTTTTTTGCGTTGGAGGCTTTTGACGTACATGCGCACATGTGTTACTCTTATTAAAAATCAACCCTATTTCGTAGCGGGTCTTAAGTGCTCTAGGCATCGTAAAGAATTCCACCAAACAGTCGCCTCCCTTCATTTTATCGGACACACATCCACGGGAATTTCTGTATGCTCAGCGTCATTTCGCTACATTAATCTCTTTTTACAACAATTAAATTTTCTCGGCATTACCCCGTGGTTTCCTGCAGCTAAAACGCCAATTTGGTTTTTTTGCACGTAATGAGGGCTTTACTGTGAATTAGCAACGAAACTGATACCACGCTGGTGAAATTCGAGACTACATTAGGCACGACCCACTTTTGCCTGCCGGTAGGAGTAATTGCAGTGACAAGCTCCCAAAAATACGCAGGCTGGTTGCATATCATTGCTGTGTAACGATTCGGCACTAATGTCAACATCTGGCGCCAAGTGACACAAAAAGGGAAATAATGCGCTTTTGTTTGCTTGGGTTTGGAGTAGCGTTGCAGGTCGATTCGCTGTGCTTTCATGCTTGAGGCGTTGCGATGTGCAACAACAAACACTCGAGACTACTGCTAGAGCATAAGACGCTTCGTTGCGCTCCTCCTTTGTCAAAGTTAACCAGTTCGTATTGGTCCTAGTTAATATTAACTCCTTGAAAACTAGTTCCCACTGCCGAAAAGTTGTGTCTGTCCCTTTTACTGAATATTTCCGAAGGTCAACTCTACCGTGGAACCGTTTACCGCCTACGTGAAGGCACTGTCCTTAAGATTTCTTCCCCGGTTGGGAGGAGGTATCTTTTATGGGAATTCAGTCTGAACTCTATAGAGATCTGGGCGGGTGACTTCATTAAACTGTTTTCAGTTTACTGGGAGAATGCAGTCAAGTTTTCCTTCAGGTTTCTGACCGGTCAAATTGTTTTGGTCACTGGATTTCCTACAGCTGAAGTTCACGTAAATTTAAAACGGGTTTGAAATGGGCTTGTTATGCATACTTACGAACCGTTAGTATCTCTTTTGAGGCGCAGATCGGCATGCCTGTCCTCCGTTCACTCTCTCGACTGTAAAACTTGCTTCAGCAAGTCGTAACCGCATCGGCCGGTCAGCGGTACGCCGCCGCCGCCGCCCTCGCGTGCGGCATCCCGAAGTGCGTCTGTAATGGTCACTGGCACAAGTGCACGTGAAAAAGCGCTGCCGCAGCAGCTCTGTGGCTACATCGTCACGTCTGGTTTTATGGCGAGCGCCGCCTGCGTACGTGGGAGGGAGGGGGGGGTTTGCGTGATGCGTTTCGACTTGCGTCTGGTGCTCCGCGCGCACGCACATTCGCCCATCTGAGTTGTTGACTCACGCTCACCCCGGCTGCAGTCAGAAAGCCGTCCTTCGGGGTGCCCCCGCGGGCCCCACTCCATTATTCGACGCTAATTGGTCGCACCAATCATCTTCCTTGCCAGTCTTCGACTATTGATTTGGGTGCCGCTAGTTCTCATCGCGGGAGCGGCACCATGATGCGCTGTATTTTCTAATAATACCAACCTGAGAAGCCGTTGTTTTTTACCCGATGTCTGCGTTTTTTCCGCAAATGGAGTCTTTGATATCCTGCTTGAGTTGACCGGTGCAATTACGGAACTATAATGAAAGTATGTGACGCAGTGGGCTTCAGTCCTGCCCAAATAATGTGCCACACAGTCTGTCAAACCGTCTTGTCTAGACAGCTGTCCTGTCCGCCTTTCACCCGAACAGACGGCTTTTTCTTAACTAATGTGCACAAACTTTTCAATTATGAGTACTCCTTAGGTTGTCCTTGACTTCCCTCGCGGAAGTTTGTTTTCCCCAGCCAATTTTTCTTCCTTTTATTGAATTAAACTATTCTGTTACTGAAATGCAGCAGCAAATAGTAGCGCAGGCGCTTCTTTGGAAGTAGTAGCGGTAGTGGCTGTTGTGGTTGTTTGCATTCCAGAAACCCCAAAGGCCTTTAACCAGTAACTAATTATCTCTTGGGTAGAGTGGATTTTATTAGTTTGAGACAAGAATCCATTCCCTCTACTTGAATCCTTTACTAACAACAGAATTTCAGTAAAAAGCTGAGAACACATCAATCGCCCAACTCCCTCCAACCATTCAGCACATAAGTTGATTTCATTTGGCCATTTCATCCATTTGGCACTTGAGTCTGCTGGCTTGAAAGCCGAAAATATGCATTAATTATGAGACAACACAGGATTTTTTTCCTATTTCGGTTTGAAAATAAGATGAAGTTTAAGACCTGAAAACTTCGTTTTTGCTTGGTTCATTCCACCACATCCTTTTGGACTATACAAAACTCAAATTATGTTAATGGCATTGTGGGTTGTCTTTTAACTGATTATTTGGTTATTTCGTAAGTTGGTGTAGCCCTTTATTCGTTCTTGTATTTCAACTCCAGCAAATATCCTTACTGGACTCATTACCTCTTTGTTGCCTTAATCTTAACGTTCTGCTCCCCATCGCAAAGCTCATTTCTTGAGGTCCAGCCACAGCAGTAGTGGGAGTCAAGGTGAACCTTTGTTTCATTGCTTACAAGATGCGTTAGGCGCATTTAAACCGAAACACTTACCACTTTGACTCTGCGTTAACCCATAAATTGCGTGTCAATGTTATAAACCATGCGCCTGTGTGCGTCCGTTCTGGTGCACATGTGGTGCCTAATTGGGGTTCGCGCCACACAGCACTGTTAGTCAACCAGTGCCTGTTTCGATTCACCATGTGATCGGTGCTTTGGGTGGCTATGCGGGACCTTCACTTCTCCAGCAGATGGTTCTACTAAACAATGTCTGCGGTTTGTCAAGCATAACTGATTCGATCGTCTTCGAGCACTTTTTTGAGCTTATCGCGTGCATATTCCACCACCAGCTTCTGTTTACGCGACATTTTTGTAGGCATGTGCCACTGATCGTCAAATCCCACTTTAGTGCGCCTTTTGCGTTAAGTAAGTCCAAAAGCATCTTCGGTGAGTCGTGGCCAATGGTTGATTATTTGCCGTTATCCGATTAACCTGTACACAATTGACTATTTGCCCAAAGCCGTGTTATTTGTGCTGGCTTGATGGCAATAGCGTCATCTTGTCCAATTCTCAGCCACCCGAATATTCTGTTTGCTCAGCGCGGTCTCCATCTGGCGTAGCATATGTTAAAACGCTCATCATATTCAATATACTGTGGAAGGGGGGTGACGGTTAAAATTCGTTCTGTGTCAACTTTATAAGAATAATGTATTTAGGTTAATTTTTCCCCCTTTAGGTACTGCATTCTTCAGACCCCATCACCTTCGTCCTTAAATTTCGAAACGCTCTTCTTTTTGTCTTTGTTCGGGTTTCTTTTTGATTCCAGTGACAAAAAACATCGGTGTACTTGTTAGAAAAACATACTGTCCGTGGGTTTGTGTGGTTTCCTCCCAACCACTTGGAATATGTGTGATTTGTTTTCACATGCGATGAGGCTGCGTTGCTTAGCTCCCCGCGGAAGGGACCACACTGCCAAGACTCGTCGTCTGTGGTGCGGAGGCGCACTGAATGGAGTCCCGCGCGCGTGCGCGCGTGCTCCCACCGCTGCCACCGCCAGCTCGGTGCGCGTCTGCTTCCACCACTTCGTCCATTAGAGGTGGGCTTCACGTGCACGTCCATTTACGTGGTCGGGTCGCAAAATCACCATGTGTGCGCACAGGTGGTGCGCATGGATTCCGGGCATGTTAGCACGACACATTTCGCACTTACCTGCTCCCAGAGCGCCGTGGCTCTGAAGGTGGATTCCTCAGAAGCGACATGAACTGTCCTTTGGAGCGCTCGCTTGTGCAGCAACATGCGAGTGTAGCATGGAACTTCGTGTAGTAGCGATTTCTTGTACTTCCCCTCGATTCCTAATATTTTCCTAGGCGACAACATTAATCGTGCTAGCCCTGCTAACTTATTCGTACAACCGGGAATCCCGTATCACCGTCCGATTTCGCCCCGACTAGCAGATCTATACTTATTCCGTGTCAAGGCAATCCTGTCACTTGTTAATAACAGCACCAACCCTGAGGCTGGTGGTGGGGTTTCCAATCATGTTCACTTTATGTTTCCATGTTCTCCCAGGTGCAAATGGATGGTAAACTTTTTTCCCTAATGCTCACGGCCAAAATGTATTTTTGTACTCCGTTTTACCACGAAATTCAGTCCAATGGTTAGCTCCCTTTCGATTCTTGTTGTCAGGTTAAAATAAGACTTAGTGGTTCATCACAGTGTCTGCAGTCATGTTGTGGTTCGTCTGTTACGTTGAGAGTCGCCTGCTTTTGTTTCCTCGGGAACTACTTGTATTGGGGCCACAAGTCAGCCCAGTAGGCCTGAATGTCACCTCTTTGTCGTAAATATGCTTTGCGTATATCTTGGCCGCTCGATTTTGTCTAATCAGCTAGAACTATTGGTCTACCTTAAAGTGACAACTTGTTGTAAATGCGCGATGGTTAGTTAGCTTAGTAACTTAGCATCAAGTGTACTTAAGACTAAGCACAGCAATCCGATCGGTTTTGAACTTAAAAGCCTATAGCAACTGACCAATCGCTCAGACCATAAGTGCGTACTTTGTTTGCTAGTGTTTCTTTGGTATTCGTGGTTAGTTATCATTCTACTCTTACACGGTTTTTGAAGTTAACCCCTCTACCATCGGTAAAACTTTCTAAGCTTCTCTTTCTTGCATCAGCGCTTCCTGTATTTGTCGGTTCTGTCTTTTCTTGACCTTAAATTAGCGTTCTTTTATCGGTTCTAGCCCCGGAGAAGCTGGAACAGCGCGCAAAGCCTAAGCGCCGAAAACAGCACCTAGCTAGTGATGATGGTGACGTCAAAGTTGGTGTTGGTGGTGGCAGCAGCGGCGGCGGCCTTGTCCCCTTCTCCCATTCCAGCTCTGCAAATCCCTTCTCCTCTTCCGCCAGCTCTTCTTCAACCCTCCATCACCAAAGCCCTCGGATGCCCGCCCCTCAGTTCGGAGGGGACGCGCACGAACTTATGGCCACGAGAACACTCAATAGTGTGAGTTGATGTCTCACCTCCCATTACTACTTCTAGGCCAATTCAACAATTCCGGGTTCATTTTTGTTGGTGATGTCGTAAGATGCGTCACCTCGAAACCTCTAGACCCAAAGGAATCACCTGCTTCGTTGTCACGATGCACCATGAAACCCACAAGTCATCTGTTTTGATCCGTTGCTTCACACATGATCCAGCCAATCTCCTGGCTGTCGTTAAACTAGCACTTCGTTTGTGTAAGCAACTCGAACATGTTTCACCTTAGCGTTCAGTTATTGGTGGCTAAACTAACTTATTTGGACGACACTTTCACACTGTTGAAAATGTCTTGTGCACTTGTTTTCTCGTTAAGTTGAGGTGAAGACTGTACGGTGTCACCCTGGCACGCTCCCCACCCCGCTACCATTTTAACTGGCTAATTACGTCTACTACTACTACTACCACTACTTGTCACTGAGTGAAGACTCTCCCTCCCCCCACTGTTATACCCGTTACCTAGTTGACTGCTTTATTAGCCAGTCCCAACGGTTAAAAAATACACCGGTCCCCTTTCAACAGCCATGTCATTTGCACGTTTTTTGGACGCTTAAGGCTTTGAAGCAGGCTGAGGGTATTTAGCTGTAGCGGTTTCTTGCTGCAAAAAGTGTCCTCTAAGCCACCACAAAAATTTATGCAAACTACTTGGCGACTTGCAGATATGCAGCATTTGTAGTTTACCACTTGTTGAATAAGGTATAGCCCGGATACTGCCTCTAATTACGTATAAATCAATAGAACTTCTCCGTTTCCGCATTCTAGCGACTAAAAAGGTGTTCGCTTGTGTGATAACCTTCATTTTAACTCGACAAAGACTTAGCTATGGCTTTGGTGAAACGACTGTGTTTCATTCCGAACAGGCGAGTTGTCGTTGTTGGCTTAACCGATAGTGCGTACTCGGACTCGCTTCGCTGCTGCCTCAGGTTAACCGGGCACGGTGGTTGGCTTTCACAGGTGCTCTATTGCCTGATTCCTAAAAAACGACGTGCAGGCACCTGCAGCGTGCGAGGCGCGTGCGTTCGCGCTTTCATCGACCGTGCGACGCGTTTGCGCTCGTTGACCTTCGAGGTTAAAGAGTGACACTGTGGCATGACCTCGTGTGCTGCTGCGCGCCTGGGTGTGTGCGTGCACAGGACTTGTGTACGTCGATTGGCGTGAGGACATGACCTCATAGTGTGTACACACACGTGCCCTCCTGTTTCTACCTGCTGGTTTCCTTCATCGCCATCAGTGGTTGGCCTTTTGAGACTTCCTTAAGACTGCTACTTGCTTGCGATTTCCTCCTATTATTGCTATTAAATTATTTCATGTTTTTCGGTTAGAGCTGGTAGTCACGGTCCATGCACTACCAGAACCTCATCTGTAATCTTCCGGGCCATAATTTCGCATTGTATTAATTCATTCTTAAGTAAAAACGTGAAAACTAGGCGAGAGTGGTCGCCAACTGCCTCAAGGTTCTATTTCTATGTGGGATACTTTGCACAGGTAGAAGCCTATCATTTGAAACGTCACGCAATTTAACTTCGCACCACAACACTTATGCTTGAGTTCCAATGAAATACACGTACTCAAACCAGCTGCTGAAAAAATCATCTCCTTCCAACTTGCTAATCACTCCTGTGCATTCCTCTCTCCATTGTCCTTCCTTGGTGTGAAATATTTCTCGGTAATTTAAACCTATTTCATTCACTTAAAAGGTTCGACCTCAGGGCTTTGCTCCATCACACCCCCGGTTGTAGGCAGCATATTTGCCTCTGTCGCCTAAACATTGCCCAATTTAGCAGGTGGGGTAATCGTTACCAAATCGTCTGAACTTGCGCACGCTCATCTTCTAACCCGTGTTTTTTTTCCGCAACCGCCCGAGAACTCGTGACCTCAAGCGAACACCTGGCGTTTCCACGTGCGTACCTGATACTCTCGCTGCGCGCTTGTCCTCATGAGTTCACATCTCATCGCAGCATCTCATTATTCGCTTTGTGTAGCTGTGGGCCCGGAGTTGGTAGCACTCGTGCTGCGTGCTATTTGTACACAGCGTCAGCTGTGGATCCCTTATTTCTTATCTTCGCATCCCACTTCCTGGGCTTATCTTCCTATTAATTTCAACGCCACCGCTTGTCAGCCAGTAACTGATCCAGACTTTTCAACAGTGGTGACCGTGTATGCTAAGTGTTTTCCGCCAGTTGCTTCTAATGCCGTAACCTAAACAGTTTGAGCCTTTTTTTCCGGGGCCTCATCACTGTAGTTCAACATAGTACCTTTAGTTTTCTTGTGTAATTTCAAGAACCACTTTTTCGAACCTCGCATTCTTGCGCATCACCATTCGATTCTTTTCTGCCGAGCTTTTACGTCAACTCGTTCTCAAACGCCCACCAATGTGGGAATTCGACGACCTTCATTGCCCAGCTTCCCCGTCCAATCTCTCGCTACTTGCCCTTCTTAAATTCCTTTGTTCTCCAAATTGCCTGTTCCGGTTTATGATTTTAGTTCTGCTTTTATGACCATTAAGTGCTTTTACCCCTCACCACCCCACTCCCCTCTTCCCTCCTCTGACATATTTATTGTCCAGCTTATGCTCACGCTTGCCTTCGCCCCTTGTGACCGCCCACTATCACACAACCCAGTGGGAATTCTTGTGTGTCGGTGGAAAGCAGCAGTAGAATTGCCTCTCATTCTGTCTACGTTGCGTTTCGCAATGTATCTGCTAACCAAGTAATTCAAACTCGCGCGATCTTACCAGCCGCGGGAGCCAACATTAGTCTTTCTCAGACAAACACCTAATGGTGGCGGTTTGCAAATGCGTAAGTTGTGATTTCGACAATTGTTTTATTCCTCTTCAGTATCCATCATCATTTTGCCGCAACCCAAGCGCGCGTACACGCATTGGTCCCCGTTTTTGGCGCAATGATTTTCCCCACAGGGTCTAATGCACGAAGGGGTTGTGTTTCCTGTTGTTTGTCACTTCCCTTCTGAGCAAAATCCATCCTTCTCTCTGCAGTGATTGCACCCCTTTATGCTGACCGAGCACCTTGTAAAAGTTTCCCACTGAACCCCGTGAAAGCTGATCGCCGCCGCCGCCGCCGCTTCTGACGCAAGCTCTGCACGCGAGATGGCTGTAAGCACAAAGCAAGCAAGGCGGGTCCAATGAGTGGACAGTTTCATTTCACCTGACTATAGATTTATCTACCCGATTTTTACTGTAATGAAATCGGGTGCCATAACTAGGCAGAGAAGTGTAGCTCGTAGTTCTCTCTAGACAGTTTCGTCGGGAATTTGGCTGGTTCTGGCCGCCTTTTTGCATGCCATTTACTGTTAAACGGATTTTTTCCAACAAAAACTCGGCTTTTTTAATTTTGCTAGTAGTTTACTTGAGTGAATTTGGTGTAAGACAGCAAAAGCATGTGAATAATCGGGTCTCGTCCCGACCAGACTGATGAGTTAAGTTTTCCGCCGAATCGAAATTGCCGTCATTGTCTCCTACTGCGTGTGTTTGCCAAGGGGCTTGGTTTCCTCTTCCGTCTTTCGCCTAACTTGCTTACGTTCCACCACCACTGTGTTGCTCCACCGGCAATTAACGAATTGGAATTTGTAGGATTTCCAGCTGCACTTTTCAGCCGCTTTGTCTAATCGAACGATCAGCCCCTCGTTTGTCTTTGCGTCGTCCGTTTCATCCCCTCTGTAACAGACTACTTCCCCGTTCGAGCGCGTTGGACACATTCGGCTGATTGCCTTTGACTACCATCTGAGAGCCTAGTTGGCACGTGGGAATTTGAGCGCCTGTGTGTGTGTGTGCGTACACGCAGATGCATGTCGCCCATTAATCACGCCACCAACCGCGTTCGCATGCACACACACACACACACAAGCACATGGACCCCAAGTGCACCGCAATGCTACACTTCCTGCTACCGCCCCACTTTGAATTGATTACCGCAGCCACAATCCATCCTGTTGTGCAACGCGGTAATCGTAGGCTTAAGTTGCTGTCGCTAGCATCGTTTCTCGTGGCAGCTGTTCATTCCTACGTGTGAGAGGCTGCTCTTCTTAGACCTGGTGACGCAATCAAGGTCTATCAATCTTGTTACTGGTTGACAGACGGTTCTGAAAATCAACCTTCGACGATCCAGCTTCATTAGTAGTTATTCTTTAGTCTGTGTGGTCCTGATGCTGAATTTCACAAACTTCGTTTCCATCTATTCTACCATGTTACAACCTGTAAGCCTTTATTTGAAGTTCAGTTTTTTTGTGGAAGCACCCGACGAACTCGATGAAAGAATCCTGATCGGTCTTTTGGAATCTGTAGAAAGTTATGTAGTCCTCGTCACAATGATAAATCATGCTTATTTGCTCACCGAATCTCACCGTCATCTGTTTTGGCCCGGATTTAACTCTCCGCGACTTCCCACCATCGTGGTCGGTTTCACTAGGGTCACAGCCATGCAGCCCGTGGCAACGTCTTTCCGTCAGCTTATTTAACTGGGAAAGTCACTGAAGGGTATTAAACACGAACCTATTTGGTTTCCATTTGGAACGAACAACGCCTTGACCCAAACCTTCGTCCAACAATTGTGTGTTTGGCAAGACACCAAGCACCATCGTAAGCACAATGCTGTTAGACCCTCCACACTTCGATTTGCCAATGTAGATTCATCGGCGTGTTAACACACCACCTTCCGTCTCAGCTTTGTATCCAAAGTTTAATTTTCGTTAAAAATGGCCTTGAGTTTTCCCGCCAATTGCCAATAAATTTGGCATCTCTCGTCCCGATAATTTCGCATACCTCCCATAATTCCCCGTTTGTTTGTGGCTCCAGATCGTATTTTTCTTGGTACTTTGGACAGCAGCAAAAGTTTATCGTTGGTTTGCAATCAGCACTTTCTACCTGGCTATTTCATGCTTTCGGCATTGGCTGTATCCCAACTTTGTTCTATTTTTCCCGCTTGTAGGCCAGGCTAATATCCACGCTTTTGGCTTTGTGAGAGACAATTAAGGATTACCTGTCCTTCACTCGCATTTGCAGCGACCAGCGAGAGTTGTTTTTGTGCTTGCAGCTCGTGAGGTTGCGAGCCATGCGGGCATCGACACTCGCCCCTGAATAGCCCGTTATGCCGAAGGAAAGTGCCCGCTTCTCGCTACTTTGCTCACTGCGAAGCCATCATGTCGTTGCTTTCATTTGTCCATTTCCCTTATTGTTAGAAAAGCATTTTGCTGTCTTCGTGAACCTTGGTGTAAATAGCTGGTACAAAAGTGCCTTTCCACTGTGGCCTTCGTGGTGTATGCAGAATCGGATCAATCCCATGTTTACTCTTTGACTGACCTTTATAAGTCTGGAGACTTACAGTCTGTGGTCTTTTCGTCCATGCATGCGTGCGCCGTCACCATTTCAAATTAGGTGACTGTGAACGCATCCGCAACTGACGGGCTATTAACGCAGCCTTCAGTGTGGAGGACTTTTCCATTAACCTTGACGTTTTCCATTTCTTCAATCTAATTTAAGAGACACCTGGCCTTTTCTGTTAAGTATAACCTACAGGAGCACAGAATTAAAGGGGCCTCGGTATGTGTTCTTCGGCGTCATCTGACTAAAACCCTTATTACCTCTTCTCGTACCAGTAAATTTCTACGCAGAAACAGTGCTGTTTACACTTTGATATTTATCCTTGCCTCAGTTAGCCACCATTTTTAGTGTCACCTCGGCAACCCTGCTTTCATCTCCGAACCGATGTTCGCATGACATGCAGGGATGTTTCTTTTGTCAATCGCTAGTTTACTTCGCATATGTGTGTATCGTGTTGCCGGAAATCTGGCGAAATTGCGAAAACACTTGTCCTCCCAGTTACCCCACTAATTTATAGCCTTTGACATTTTTCCAACAGCTATTCACAGATATGGCCGGTTCGCGCAGTGTGCAGAGCCAATTCATGTCGCTGAGTGGTTTCTCCGACCCCCAGGCAGCTGCGGCGGCGGCTGCGGTGAAGTTCCACCTCGCCATGACCTCCAGCACGGCAGCAAACAGCAATAGACTTGAAGCTAACAACGCCAATGAGGCCTTTGATCCTACACTCCACCATCGTTTGCCTCCCCCTCCCACTCAGTTCCCTTCCGAGGGAGCCTTCGTTCCCGAAGCGAGCTCTGCTGGTCCATTTCTTGACGGCAGGCTACCTCGACCCAATTGGCAGCAGCCCATACCTCCGACGACGACACTCTCAGAAGTCGCGAAACCACTGGATGTTGGTCTGCTGTCTGTAAGTTAACGTTTTGTCCGCTTCTCTTCATTGAGCCATTGCCTTTAAGAGGACATCCTCAGTACCTTGACTTTAAACTCGAACCCCTTTGTGTGTCGATTCCATAATTTGTGCCTAGAATCGTCCAAAAATTTAGCATAATTTGTAAATGGAGAACTAATCAGATAATGCCATCTCTCTGGGATGTTGAAGGATTTGCGTGCACCAACTTCCGCTTGTTCTCCTGGGCTCGTTCCTCCTCCCCCTCCGCCCAGAGTCTACACGGGGATGGATGGGAGTAATCAGATAAGATGTCGTCTTTCTCGTCGTTATATCTCAACTTTCCTCTACGTGCGGCACGCGAGCCTAATATTAAATCATTTCTCTGCTCCACTGCCACCCCACCCCCAACCTGATTATCTCCAAGGGCGATCGCACCAATGTCACGTCACGAATGTCCGTGTTTAGTGGTAATTTGTCACCTCAACTCGTGTTTTGTGTCTAGTTAGAAAAATCTAATTTACATTTCCTCAATTGTCGCTTACCGTCCTCCCTCGGTCGGTGGTGAGCACCTCTCTGCCACTCTCCTGACGGCTCTGCAACGCATCCCGATTCCGTTCAAACGTGTTTGCCGGCGCCTGCCTATCCACCACCCACCCACACACCCATTCACCCCACCTTATTACTTGGAGTCATGTTCGCGGGCACTTTATCACTTCTTCACTTTTTTGCCATGGTTTAATGAACTCAGCAAATGCAGCAGCACCAAATAATACCCATGTAATAAGAGTCAGTATTGTCTTTAGAGGCAACACCTTGGAACAACTGGCCTCGAGTACAGAATAATCCGACAGATTTGGCTCAATTAAGAGTCAACGCTTGCTCGTGAAGCAAATACAAAGTCTCCTAACACAACTAGGGGGGGGGGTTTGACTGACAACGAAAAGCATCACTGCATTTGTTTTAAGATGCAGTACTTTCATCTGCAGTTGTGCAAGCGTTATGTTATCTGGTTTTGCTTTTGGGGAACTCTTGGTGTCGCCATCACTCACTTTCATCCCCAACTGTCTGGATTTCCAGATTCCCTTCTTGGCTCCTTTCTACCAATTCTTATTGGACAACTAGGTTCGAACAAAATGGGGCTTATTTGGACATCACTTCTAACGTTTTTTAATTGCTGGTGTCGCATAGTTAGGGAAGTAGACATAAGTTGCGCAGGCAATGAACAGATTACAAATGTGGTTTTGGCGAATGAAAAATGATGTTTGGGTGTGTGGGAATGGACTTTTCAACGATGGCGCCGGAGCGTTGAAAAGGGGCTCCTCTTCTTCCATTGTGCCGTGACAAACTTCTTATTTCCCTTTTCTACGTAGCAATTTCTGTGTTATTCAAAAACTTGGTGTTTATGCTTGTTTTGCCTTTGTGGTTAGTGAGACAGTCACAGACGAATTATTGCCTACTTTGTTTTGGTTTGGCACTAAATTTTTACCCTTTTCTTCAAACACGGTCGCTAACTTTGCACGCCATTTGAAAAGGGCTTTTGTCACGGAGTTTGCACAACTTTACTCGCTATTTATTGCTGGTTAGTAGTAGCAGCAGCAGCTGTGGTTGGTGCTGTAATCAAACCGTGTTTAAGTATTCTCTGTAGTCTGTTCTGCTCGCTAGGCCCCATCATGGGCCACGGGCTTCAGCTAGCCCTTTTATGGCAGTTTATTCTTGGTGCACTTTATTGGCTTTGAATGCAGCACGTGATGCTAGCCTGGGCCTGTCCCAGTGCCAGGCTGCCCGTTCGTGCCTCACACCCCTCCTAGCGTCACTTGCCTCATTAGCAGGCGAATTCCGGTGAATGCAGCATGTGACGTGTCAGTGTGGGGCGCTGTCGTAGCCACGAGACTAACTCGTGCTCACACCTTTGCCTTGGTTTCGGTCTTGCTTTGATTCTATATTTGCCATGTTTTTGAACGCCTCGTGGTGCGTGCGTAGTGCAATTAGGGTGCGCACTTGGGTGTTGATTGGATAGCTTCATGAAAATAGTCTAGCTCTCATTGTAGTTTGCGCTTCTCCTGGTTTACACTGAACTACGCAACGCTCGTGTGATTTTGTTTGATCAAACCGCGCCATCATGCGCTTTCAGTAAAACCGGAGCAACAGATGCGCTACAAAAAATACTTTACCGGGATTATTTAAAGTATCATTTTTGGTTGAATGGGGTTTTTAAACGTAGTCGGTAGAACCGTATTGCTTGGTGTTTCAGAGTCGAAACTCAGCAATTGAGTCCGGTCTCCCTCGCCCCCGACAGTGTCGTTATCAGGATTTCCAGACACTTTGTTACCACAGCACTTGCCGCAGGGCCATGCTCAAGCAGCAGCGGCGCCTCCTTCAGTCGGAATACCTTCCGCCTTCCCTGGAGCTTGATCGACCCGATGAGCATCTCTTCGCGTGTCTGACCGAGTGTGTCCAGCGGATCAGGGAGCCCTTTGCGCCTGAAGAGCCCCTGGACACACGGGCCGCGGAAACCCTGGAACAGGAGTACAACCGAATGGACGTCTGCATTCGGAGGATTATTCGGGTGGTCAAGATGCTGCCTTATTTCAATGAAATCGGGAAGCCAGCTCAACTCGGTTTACTGAGGGTAAGGCGAGTTTGAAGTGTGGAGGTCATAATATTTCATTGGACAAAACGTTTCAACCAACATATTGGATTCTCTGTGGCCTTACCTGGTGAAGGGGGCGCATGTGTCCATCTACTTTGTGGGTGGAATTCGACCTTTTTTTGTATAAACCAAACGAAGAGGACGCATCACGTGGGTTGATTTCTCATAGGGAAACCAAACTTGTACTTCCTTGTTCAGCTGCTTTCCTATTTGCTCGCCAAAAGCCCCGTGCACAGTTGTGCACCACCACCACCTACACACGTCCGGGTCCGTAAACACTATTGGCTGTGACGCCACCCCAATTGGGTGTCAAGTATGCGGACGGCGGAATTCTAACCTCCAATTAAAATGCTAATTCCTATCATTTGTCTATTGGTCGGCTAACCAAAGAGGATGTACAGCATTCTGAGTTTATCTGGGGGAGTAACTTTGGCAGTGATGAGATTTATTCATTCTTTTTTTAAGGCAAACGTCTACGGAATGATTGTGCTCTACTCCTCCTTTTTCTTCGAGCGTGACATCCGAAAACTGCGCTATCCCATCAAGCGCCAGGACGGCACTCTGTCCACAGTGACTGTCTCCATGCTGGACGACCTTACACCGTCTATGGGCGGTTGCATTGGAGACAAGGCGCTTGCGACATCGGCCTTCCTCTTGTGCAAAAACCGACAGGCTGTAGCTACTGGTTTGAGGGAAGACTTCGAGTTATACAAGGTGAGGTGGATGCCATTGACTACGTTTCATCTGCTCCTCTGCTGTCTTGTTTCCCCGTCAACATCATGCGACAGAGGTGTGTGGGCGCGGGCACCACGTTTGGTGAGGCCGCGCACAGCTATGCAGTATATGGCCACTTGTCACCAAATTTTAGTAATAAATGGTGCCATATCCAATGCATGTCCCAAGGTTTGCCAATTTGCTTTCTGTTTGCTGGACCAATTGTGGTGGCTGCAATTTGAAATCGGTTCCCGATGGTAGTTTTGTCCGCGATGAATATCCATGTGTTCTTCGATTCTAATCCAGGCCGATGGTGACCCTTCGGTAAACATTCGTCTGCTTTTGGTACAATTTCGCAGGTTATTAACCAGTACAAAACTAAAATAGCCTTGTGGTGATTAAATTCATGACCTAAACGGCTCCCACGTGCGCCCCTTCTTGGCCGGCGTGGAGGCCTTAGCTGAATTTCGCGGTATCTGTAATCTGTTTCTGCCGACATAATTGTTCACTACTTCTGTCCATGGAGCTTGCTTTCGAATTTTGTTGCACATGTCGTTAGGCCGCAATGTGAGTCCACAGTTAGTGTTCTTATTATTGCAGGCGAATACGCTGGCGGCTTTTAACCACTTGGACGAACTGGCTGGTGAAGACGACCTCCTCCGAATGGTGCTATTGGCTGTCAAGCTGTTCACTGACGATTCTCTATCTGAGGACCTTCGTTCGGCCGTGGAGCTCTCGAAACGCGCTTACCTGGTCTTCCTCTGGACCTACCTGCGTTGGCGCGCCGGACCGAAGCACCTGCGACAGGCGACAGAGCTTTTCGCACGGCTCCACCTTGCCTTTATCGATCTGCGCTCCCTGGAGATCCGTATGACGGAGTTCGCAAAACTCGTCTCCCTTGACGGCCTTAGTCCTCTGATGCGCGAGATCTGCTCTCTCCGGTCAAACAGTAGCGGCAGAGGACTCGTCGGCGGTGCGCTGTGACGTCACCACCTTGCCCATGTGTCTTTCAGCGAGCGAGGTAGCTGCTCCAACTCACCTCGCACACACTGATTTTCCCACGAGCACGTGAACTCGCCCTTCTCCTGCGATGATTCAATTGTCGGATAAATCGTCCACACTGCCGCTGCAACCAAATTCGTTCATATTTACTTTATACCGTGACTACGCCTTGGGTTCCTTTCCTACTCCTTCTTCCTCTTCAGCCAATGCTTGTAAATATTATTGCACTATATATACATATGCATATACATACTTATTCGCGACTCTGCCAATAATGATATTAATAATATATACATACAAAAACGTGTGTTGCAATAATTTTTGTCGTTCTTTTATACCCTTTGGCGGCGTGGAGCTGTGTCGTTGCGGATCTCTACTGAGCGTTCTTGAGTTTGCACAAAGTGCCACTTGGGGCTGCTCACTCGGAGTTTTGCCTCATTGATATTTTATGCAGCCTTATAATTGAGAAATTTCGCCTGCATGCCGCTCTCAGATTCCCCTCATTGCCTCGATACCTCTCGTGCCGTGCCACCGTTCGAATAGTCTAGTCCCTCCAAACAATGCTAAATTGTCTTAGTGGAATTGTTAATTTGCCGCGTGTTCTTTGGTTGAGGCATTTGCATAAATCCGCCGTTTGTGCTGTCCCAAATTCCCGCACCGCTGTTTCCACGTTTGAACTTCGTGACTTTAGCATGCGTCCCCCTTAACTTCCTGAATGCCGTTAAGGTGATATTTTGATGACACAACGAGAGAGGGACGTGTTTTGGTGTCATCCGGTACAAATGGGCTTGAAGACAAATTTGTGGTTTCAAAAATGCTTTTGAGGACGAAACTCATTCATTTTTCCTTGACCTGTTAACAGGAAAATTGGACATGGCTGGGTTCTATCTTTTGCATTTGCATCACTAGAGAATTTCACGCTCTAAATTCGTGCGGGAGTTAGCGAGTTTTCGGGCGACCCAATTTCTCACAATGGATCTTTCCTTCAATAACTCGCGTTCGTCGAGGGCACTGCAGCGCACTTTCCTATTTCGTCGGTGTATGTGGCCTCTTAAACAAAGTACGATTTTTGCGGCTTTGGCCTCCCCCCGTTCTGGCTTGGTTCAGAGGGTGACGCTATTCATGTGTTCACGCGATGGCGACTGTCACACCTACTGTAAATTTTGTTTCAACGCCGCTCGTAAAATGTAAGTCGAGGCCATGGTAGTTTGAACGAGGAGGAAGCGCTGGTGCATGAAGCTCTCAAATTTGTTGTCTCGGCGTAACTTACACCCAGCCAATCATTGCCGTCTTTAATTCATGGCTTGTGTTACCCTTTTGTTTAGCTGCAACATGCGGAGAGGCTGGTTTACCTTGTAGCTTGTATCCATAATTCGGAGCTTTCTTGAGGTTAATCAGGGATAACTGAAACAATTGTAAAAATCTACCTATTTTATGCATTACTAGAGTCGGCCTTTGATCGGGAAAAATCCCCACACAAGTTAGGACTTGATTGATAAGAGTTGTACCGACTTCGTTGTGAATGGAAATTGCGTTCCTCGACTGGCCGATCACCTCTTGTCAGCCACTTTGCCTAGCAGAACTTTTGCGCAGAAGGGTTTGTCATGCTCTGATGGCAAGGCTGCCTCACCACCCCACCTTACTGCATCACCCTTTTCCATTTCTTTTCCACGGCTCTGCCTCTACCTCATCTTCGTGAATGTTCAAATTCGTACTGGCTACCTTGGCACGCTGATGTGAGTGAATTTCTGGGCCACAAAAAATACATGATTAATCCGACTCAATTTTATGCCATCATTTCCCAGTGAATGGAAAAGGAGACAAAAAATGCTGTTTGCAAATACCAGGTTGCTGGTTCCCGGCCCGCCAATTCCATGGGCTTTGTTTGCAGTCTCCTTTTGCGAGTTTAATTTTAGGCTGCCCAACCACGCCTAGTCTTGCGATGCGTCCTATTTACGAATTCGCGCCTATGAACTGGCCAGTCTATTTCTGTCCCAAGTGAAACCCCCTCTCCTCCGCAGTAAATGACATGGTCTTAACCGTAACAGCCCAAGATACTAACCATTCCCACCCACTGAATTTGTTTGCCTCATTAACACATTTCACTGCTCACTCCCGCCGATATCAAATAACCTCTATCAAAACAATGTCCTGCATCTTTTATTCATATTCCATTGATTGTTTTAATTCCTGAGGGTTTTGGGATGCACTCATAGGAGGCGTCGCTACCTACTTTCATTTTTTATCAGTAGTCAGTCAGTAACTATCCTAATTCCTCTTCTTTCCTTTTGGCACTAACTTGCACCCCTGCTAGTTGACAAACTGAGAAGAAAGGCAACACATATGGTAATGAATACAACGTTGGACCACCCACGTCTTTTATAGACGAATGCGTGAATGAATATCGACCGTCGACTGTAATCGGCAATCAATGACATTCGATCAACTCGTGAGTAGGCTTCACTCCCACTCGGTTGACGAAAGTTTACTACGGGCCCACCCATTCCAAAGCCATTTTGCCTGCATTCCATCTTCTCTATGATAAATGCCTGTTCCAGGAGTGTGTCTTTGTCATTGATCCGAAATGATTCCAAAACCTCCCACCAGAATTTCCAGGCTCAAAAGAAGCAATTAAGATAGTAGTAAAATTTCATGCATTGTGTAGTTGGCATAAAGTCGCTGTCCTAGGCAAAAGAATTAATAACTCCATTTGACAAAATGTGGTCTGTGAATATGTACACTGAGTGAAATGTCAAGTCTTTTATTGTGCCAGATCCACAATCAAAATCTCCAAATTTGGAACGAAACCAACAAAGCATCCAAATGCTGGAAGGTCGAGCGCTCAGACAATTTCGATCACGAATGTCCAGCTAGTTCTACCAACTGACATTAATCTCGTTTTTAACTTCTTTCTTGAATTCAACAAAAATAACAGAGGCGAAGTTCACTAGTATGTGTCGGCACAGTGTTTGGCTATTACCAACTTAATCTCTCTGAAAATTGATATATTCGCAGGAGTAGTTCAGTACAAATTAATAAGCGTTGCAAATGAAATGACAATCAGTTGAGCTGGTTGTGCAGCCAAGTCAGCATGTCCTTCCGAGGCGAATAGCACACTTTCAAAATCTGATCAGTGTTACTGCGTCGGTCGTCAGGGTGTTTTACATATGGAAACTTCGCCTCCAAAAGGAACGCCTTGGTACCTTTCGTTTGGTCTCCTCCTTCGAAATGTTGGTTTTACTGTTGAAATAAACACTCTGCGTAGTGTTTTTTCTTCATTTTTTAGAATGTAAAGCATTCGCACTCTAAGAACCTTTTTCTCCAGTGTGAACTTCCTACGAGAGATTCGTGTTTTATGTTCAAAACAAAGTACCAACGTAAATAAACATAACTTAGCGGGTGTGTGAGTTGTATGCTGGAAGTCACGCTTTTAAGTAAAAGTGCCTAGGAATTTGGTCACTGAAAATATCTAGAAATTCGAAAACGGAATGCTTACGAATAAATGGATATGTCTTTGTTTGTGTCTCTTTATTTGATTTCCTGTTCCATAAACGGGAAATACGAATGAGGCAAGTGTTTGTTTACTTTTTGCGTTGACCTTTGATATGCGCATTTCCATTTCTGATTTGGTCTTAAAAAATCACAAAGCCTAACACCTTCCTTCGTTTTATTGGGATTCTATGCGTGGGTGTGGGGCAAACAGGACATCGTGTTTGTACCCAGAGAGTTAGCTAGAGCCGTAAAATGGGCTTGTAAAGTCACTGCCTACTTTGTAACACCTTCGAACCCCCGAATACGCATCTATAAACGTAAGTGGAGTTCTGACACCTGTATTTCCATGGAATTGAGTCATGAGGTCGACTAGAGTAGCTAGCGAGTACCATTCTGCATGCCGCATGGCCACGGCGCGTTCAAGTGCATCTGAGTTGGACTTTTTTACAATGCATTTGCGTGTCGCCAGAAGAGTGACCGGTCCCTATGTCAATTCAGTTCGAGTTCCCAGGTTAGTAGTGGATGGCTTTCTGCCAATGCAGCAGCCGATCAGGTCTGGTCTCACGCCTCGCTGCTGCATACAGGACGGCTTGTCGGAGGGTGATTCCCTCTAGACCCCCGTGCATCGTACTGGTCACCAAGTCAAAGCCAACTACGATATGACGTAATAATTTATTTAGAACAAAGGCCAAAACTGCATGAACAAACTTACTAGTACAGAAGTGCTTTCTCAATCTGTACTACGGAACATTCAGTAATTCGGCTATTTATGTCATTTAAAACATTTACTTGCATCAAAAAATTTCACCCTCAATCCTTACTCCGCTTCTTCGTTGGGAACTGACTTTCTATCACTTGAGTCGCTTCCTCTCCCATTCGACGATCTTGCCTTCTGCAACAGAGTTCCACCACTCTCATCGCCACTTTTACGCCGAGTTTGACCGTCCTTTCCACGCGGCGAATGCAGCCTTGCGGCTATCGCAAGTCCAGCATCGTTTTGCTGGTCGTTACTTTCACCCACTGTATCCTCTTTGCTGTCTGATTTCTCCATTTTGAGGAAAGACCCACCCTTTTGATTGGTATCTGGCGTGTTACAGAGAGCGTGTGTGCTTGGAGGCCTGCCAGCGACTAATGAATTCGTGGACGCAGTCATGTGCGCCTGCGAGGTCATTGGCAAATGCATCGCGTGATCCCGAGGACAAAGGTCGTGTTTTTGAGACGGAGCGCACACCACCAGTTTGCGAAATGCAGTGCCGACGATGGAATAATGCCTGCACTATAAACGGTCCTTTTGTTTTGCCCACAGATTTGTAGTTTTTTTATTCTTCAATTATAAAATGCATTCATCGAAGCAGTACGATCTACACAAGCAAGTCTCGGTGTTGATTGATTCAGTAGGATTTGGACTGAAATTAATTTTCTCACCCGAACGTATCAGATCAAAAGGAAAGAAATTTACAAAGCACTTGAAAAAATACATAATTCTCATGTGAGGTTGTGCATAAAATTGTCGTATTCTATCTTCTTTTCAATGAACGGGTATATGTGTCCTAAACTAAAAACCACCATTTCTTCTTGTCATTAAAAGTTAGCACGACTCCACAGAAGCAATTAACTACACTGATACACTTTTTGAAAGCGCCTTGAATGCATTCACAAGGATTTGGGTTGTTCATTTCGACTAAAAGTATAGTGATCCATTTGTTCTGGATGAAAATATTCAGAGCCCGTTCTCTATTCGCGAGAAGGGATTTACGAATCCAAGCTAAATACTTATTACTAGCAATAAGTGACATCGGGCCTGAACACCGGGCCATTCCCTGCCACATCATAAAACCAATGGCAACTCTCGTTCACTGCTTATTGGTTAATGCTCACGAACGTCCTTGAACACAGCTTCCCTTCTCTTAACGTAGCCATTTGGCATTGTATAATTTAGCCACTGGCGCGAACTTATTTATTTAAAAACACTGATCATTTCAAAATCATCACGGTAAGCGAAAAACGATTATTCGTGGTGGTCAAATATTTAAAAGACTGTTCGGTGTGTGATTCGGTGCATGGCACTTCCAACTGTCTATTAATCTTTGCAAGCATCGTCAAGATTTTGGACTGGGTCGTCTTTAACCGCTATCGCTATCACTTCCGTTTCTTTGTCTTTACCAAAGTCCATTATTATTCAAATTCACGCCTTCCTCCTGATCTCTGAACGTCAATCCACATTCGTCTGTAGCAGGTTCGTCTTTAAAGCTACCGAACCTTGAATGCACTACCTTCCCCCACGGATTTTCCCAAGACTTCCGTTAGGTACCGCAATAGTAAGTTTGAAAAGAGCAACGGAGAATCTTTTAGAGGCACCCACATAAGTTACCAACCTTGCTCGTTTTCACACTGATTTTTTGGATCCCATTTCCAAATTAATTTCAAGCTAGACGATTGATTTGCCTTAAGTTCCTCCGTGTCATCTCTTAGTCTGTACAACGGTGTTACTTATCCATCGCATATTCCTATGTCTTCGAAAAATTATGCATTTACTGAGCAATATGCAGATTTTATGGGTGAATATTTAGAAAATCTTAAACTCGAGATTTAGATCTGGTAAGCCTGTGGTGAGTTGGAATTTTAAGTAAACTCAAGCGTTTTTCACACACTTCGCTTTTCTAGTAGGACCTCAAGGCGGGTTTGGTGAGTAAAGTGCATGAATTACCCATTCCCATCGACCATCAAGTATCTACGTTCGAGGTTCAAAAGTTGTACCAGTTCGTGTAGCAAGCAGACTTTTCTAAACGTCCACAAGAAATGAAACCACGATGTCTTCCTGAGTCTGAGTCGTCTATAGCGAATTTTTCAAAATCATCCATTACTTAGTTAACTAGTTTGATTCCGTTTTCCAACTCGTTGGATTTGTATTAAGGTTGCATGGTCGCCACCAGCGAATTCAGTAATAAGCGGTATCGGTTTCAGCATGTGTTTTATGCGGCGTTTTCGAGTGTCCGCATTATTAGACTGGTAAGGATAAAATTTCTAAGCTAGTTTTGGCTATGACGCAACCGAGATAAATCCGTGAACTTCTCGCCCTTATGAATTCTCGTTGATCAATGCATCACTTCAGTTTCACCGTTGAAGTGAACTTCCGGGAAAATCTACATTAAACCAAAAGTGGAACTACAACTACTTGTGGTTGAATCTGTATACACGACCGATGTTGATCAGAGGCGATAATGGCATTTGAAGCCAACTACATGATGGAGTGAAACAAAAGAAAATTGAATCGCATTCCTGGTCACAACTTGTGTAGTTTTGCCTCTGAGTGAAAATATGTTCCCTGAACGGCGTGAAGTATTTCTGAGTTTTCAGGTCCACGTCAGTTAAACCATTTAGGTGAGCCTGCTATAGTAAACATTGTTACCACAGTCAAATATCAGTAAATTCTAGTTGTGACAAAAATTCTGCCACAATTACCACTACTCACCTGTGTTTAATCTTGAAGTGAATACAAGGGGGCCTGTATCACGTCGTTAAATCTTAAAATAACATGTATGCCATATGCTTACTAGTCCAAACTTTGTTATTTGTAAACATAACATTAAGTCGTTTTCAGTTTTAACCTTTTTCCGGTCTCACTACCTGGGGTTGATGAATGCATCAGTTAAGCTAATGACCACACAGCTGGAATAAGTGATAGGCCTGTTAAATATTCTGCTCCTCGAAGAAAAAAAACCTGTTGTAGTGAAGTTTGTTGACACAAGCCTATCACCTTTGACAACAAATGTCCTGGCACTTTGTCCTCTCCCTCACAACTGCGTAATTTGTCGACCACATGCTTCCCTTGTGTCATCTGAACAATGTGGACTGAGACCACTACAAGACATGGCTTTCTTTTGCAAGTCCACAATTTACAGAGAGCAGAAATCATGTACACTGACACAACGCATTATCACTAAAGTTTATGAGGATCTTAGCTAGGCCTCTGTCATTCAATTTTCAAGACACTGCTTTTACTCTCACATTGGCGCTTTAGCAATTCGTGACTCCGACTTTATCTCCAGGACGAATATGTATTTGATGATATATTCATTCCCGTTTCTCTGTTGAACTCTGAACATGATGGTCGAAATATTGATTCAGTCTATGAAAGCTTAGGGGAAGATTTTATGCACACCTATGCATCACATGACGAGATCAAATAAATCTAACAGTAATTAATAATTATTTTACAAAAATGCTGGTTTAAAAATTACTTTACTGACAATGCACGTCCAACCACACAAATAGATAAGAAAACAATATATTTATTTACTCAGACGTTACCAATAATTTACATCAATGCTTCAGTTTCATTAATTTGAAGGAAGCATTTCACTATATTATTGCTGAAAGGAAACGAGCAAAAATGCCTCATAATCAGCTAATAAAATACATTTGTTTTCTATTGTTAAAATTTGATTTATCGAAAACAACATAGCAAGATTAAACTATAAAGCGCTGCCGATTCTTAAATTAGTACTCATTGCTTATTGTTTATTGCAGATAAGAGTAACGTTTGCACTCATTCAAGGCCAAATATAATAATTTATCCAACGATTTTTGCCTCATTCATAATACAACAGAGTGATTTCAGTATAGATGCTAAACTGGTGGCATAGGTCCTAGAAAATGGATTGGAAAATATAAGCTTAGTCAAAAACGATTATATAACTAATAATTAATTTAACGATAACAAAAACAATGACCGGTGTTAACCAAAAGCTTTTCGGCCGATTGTTTTGCTTTGTTGAAGCGGTTAGTATTCGATTAATAAAGTCGACGTTATCTTAGATTATTGCACTACCGAAATTATTTCAGTGCCTTTATCGTATATACCATCTAACAGTGGAAATGTCTAAGAAAGCAATGAACCCCAATAAGGGGAATCAGAATGGCATTACAGCTATGTTTTAGGTAAGGCACGAGTTTATGGGTCAAACCACAAATCTCTTGTAGTACAATATCAAAAATTTGAATAACTAATAAATTTTTGCAGTTGGATAAATTTACTGCAATTTAAGGCATTTGCTAATGATGTCATTTGCATGAAAACACAAATTCACGTAAATGCACATGCTGCTTGCCAAACATCAAGAGCACTCAGAAAGCGTTTTCATTCCACTGTGTTTAATACATAAAATTTTGCTTCGTTTATGAATTTTAACTCTTTTTAATAGGTTATTTTCTCGGTAACGAGAAAGAAATCGGGTTTCAAATAGACTTTTTTGAACTTGTAAAAGAAATTTTATTCAGGTTATTTGTCCAAACCTTAGCTAAAATACAAAAAACGATTACTTAAGTAATTATGGTAAATGTAAAAGATTTCATTGCATTTTGTTTATAAAATCTAATGGTGTTAATCCAAGGTTATGGAGCACATTTCATCCCCATTAGCGCGAAATCGGGGAATGAGGTGTTTGTGGGGATTTCACAAATCAACATGTTTTAGTTCTTAATAATTGCTATTAAAACTTTGTAAAACAGAACTCTAAGTTGACAAGCAAGAGCGATGTTCTGCAAAATGGTTTCACAGCCGGAATGTCATTTCAGGGAAAAAAGTCCGATTTTATAACGGTCGTGTTTATCATGAGGATTAATTCAATGACTAAACAAAACTCCATTTAATATTTTTTGGGTCAGAATTGGCAAGGTTCCTTAATCTTTAATGAACCTGTGTGTAGTGAAATCTCAGCTAGAGCTTGATAATTGATACGTATCTCCTTATATTTATTTCAACGCACTCTGTATCACTTTCTTACTTCGAGCTTATATTATTCCTCGACAAACAAGCTCACGAGCTCAGTGACATAACTTGTCAAGATGTATAGAATGGTTATACCTACTACTCCGTGTCAACCATAGATCATATGGGTATTGACAAACACCAAGATTTTAATATACCTCGCTAAATAATACACATCAAATCAGATTCTGCCATCTTTTGAGTCATGCTTTCATTTCGACCTACTCACATTAATTCCGGCCTTCTTTGTCTCATATTTTATTAGTCAGCGGGCTCAGGTTAAAAGTATTTTTTGCAAAATGTCCAACGTCGCACTCAAATGTAATCGAAACAATTAGGTTTGAAGCGCCGGTGTTAACAGTTCCAATCAATTAGAAATCGACTGAGCTTTATCTAGTTTTCGAGATCAGTTA